ACCTGCACCACTGCACCAAATGCTCATTAAGAAGTTTGACAAACAACACAAATAATTCAAGCCTATTTATTCCACATACACCGCCTCGCCAAAGCATACATTCTTACTTTTTTTTTTTTTAAGATTTTATTTATTTATTTGAGAGAGAGAATGAGAGACAGAGAGCACGAGAGGGAAGCGGGTCAGAGGGAGAAGCAGACCCCCTGCTGAGCAGGGAGCCCGATGTGGGACTTGATCCCGGGACTCCAGGATCACGACCTGAGCCGAAGGCAGTCGCTCAACCAACTGAGCCACCCAGGCGCCCCCATTCTTACGTTTAAAAAAAAAATTTTTTTTTTTTTTTTTTTTTTTTTTTTAGGGACGCCTGGGTGGCTCAGTTGGTTAAGCGTCTGCCTTCGGCTCAGGTCATGATCCCAGGGTTCTGGGATCGAGTCCCACATCAGGCTCCCTGCTCCGTGGGGAGCCTGCTTCTCCTTCTGCCTCTGTCTCTCTCTCTGTCTCATGAATAAATAAATAAAGTCTTAAAAAAATTTTTTTTTTCAAAAATAAATATCCAAACAAGAACATCCCATCATCATAAGGACTGCATCATTGGGAGAAATGATTCTGTGGTGACTTAATTTTATTAAGGGGGAACAGAGACATCCATTGTTGAGTTCTGGCAGAGGGAGGCGGGGAGTTTTACGTCTGCAACATCCCATTGGTCTCGAATGATCCCTCAATTGCTACACTGAATTCTCTGACGCTTTGCTGTCCCTGGAGATGTTCTTTCACAGTACCAGTTCTGGCTGTGTCTGAACACAGGGTTCTTACCCATCTGAGAGGCCATCAAACATAAGGAGCAAGGCTTAGGAGTCAGGCAGACCCCAACTATGTGGCTTGGCTAGATGACCTTGAGTAGGTGACTCACGCTCTTGAAGAGCTTGGCTTGCCCAGTCTGTAAACAAGGGGCAAGGGCTCCCTTATAGGATGTGTGTCAGGGTTAAATGAGAAAACAAGCAGATTTGGCAAACTGTCCCCCAGGTATGATTCCATTTGCCCATGGAGTATTTTGTTTTTCTGAATTGTGAATTAGTTTAAAAGTTTCTTAAATTGGGAAATGCTATATAAAAATTCAAATATCCGGCTTTCCTTTAAAACAGTAATATCTGGCAATACGAGGCAGGCCATCACGGTGCTGAGCCAGAGCCTTGACCCTCTAGGCCACCGTAGTCCCTGCCTGGCCCGCCTCATTCAGTGCCCTTACTTGCCCTGCCATTCAGGGATCCGAGTTTGCAATCCCCGACGCCTGTGCATGGCACAGAGTAAGCCCCCAATAAATGTTAACTACTACTAGCGATACTCTTACTGCTGAGGAGCTAACCAGCACCTGCACAGCTCCTCTGCTTTGCAGGTAACTAAAGAGAAGACATGGGCAAGGAAGAATAGAGAAAGTGGGCATTCGTGGTGAAACAGGAGACATGGGGCTTGGTGCCAGCCAACAGCTGCCCAGCTGTGTGGCCTTGGCTAAGTCCTTGGCCATTAATCAGTCCATATGTTCAGTAGTGTGTGGGCCAGAGGGTCCAGGGTATGGCCTAAGTGGATAGGTCTCAGGTCGATAAGCCATCCTCCCTTCCCCCAAACCCCGTTACCCACTGAACTCATGGTCTGGGGGCCTCTCCTTTCTCCAAGGCTCACCCAGTGCCACTTCCCTTCTCTGCATCACCCCCAACCTCTGAGAACTGTTTCTGCTTTTCCAGGGAGAGGAGGAAAACCAGACAGAGTAGCCGTGCTTGCCTGGAACAGGGCTGCAGAGCCAGCAAAGCACCCTTAGAGCAGAGGGGCTCTAAACTGTCATCTGTAAAAGGAGAATGGTAAAAAATAGTGTTTACCGGATAGGGTGGCTGGGACATTAAAGTGCTTAGGACAGTAGCAGGCACATAGAGAGTGCTCAGTAAATGTCAGCTGCTGTTAGGAATCAAAGAGGAATCACTGAAGCAGCTTGCTTTCATCTCCTCTTGAGGCGGCAAGGAGGCAAAGGAAACTGTTCGAGAGAGGCTGCAGAATAGAATTTTCACAAAGCAATCCCTGCACTCCCCACCCCCACCCCAGTAGGCACAGGTAGGCACAAAGATAAGGAGAAAAATATGTTGAGAGGGCAATGAAGTATAATAGATGAGGTGATCCCATATTCCATAGATTCTAAGATTCCCCCCCATATTTTAATATCTCTGAAGTTGAGGTGCATCATACAATCAACGGCATGTCCTAAATCGTAGTTGGTAGCTCTTTTCTTTTAGGGGCTCCTAATAATGTCATAGCTCATCTTTGATGGCACCTTAGAAGTAATGAGATCTAGTGTACAAAACGCGCTGGGCACGGTGCCTGCCATGTCACAAGCCCTCAGATTATTCTCATGATCTTCAGCATCACCAGCACATTCGAGGTTGGCCATGGCAGAGCAAGCAGCTTTTCTTCCTTTTTCTCGCTGACACCTGCTGACCTGCATTTGGTCCCCGGGGTTGACAGGCACATGGCAAATGCAGTTAAGGGAGGGGAGGGAGGGAGGCCTCAGGATAGGAAGGGAATGGCTTTTTATAATATATTAAGATATTCAGAGAGGAGGAGCCAGGGACTTTTTTTTTTAACAACAAAAAAAAATCCCTGCTGGAAGCCAGAGTTATATATATGCCAAACAGGCCAGGAAACCCAGCAGGCCTCCTGGAGCTGGCAATGAACCGAATCAGGGGCATTGTGTCCAGGCCACTGGCTGGCTGAGGGGGCATTGTTAGGGCCTGGCCCTGTCTGGGAAGAGGGGGCTGGAGGGGTCAGGGGGAGTGTGTTCCCATGACTCCCTGGGGAGTAACAACAATTGGGACCAGCTGGGAAGCCCGCATGCCAGGGGCCCCAGGGCTGTAGGGGGCTGAAGAGATGGGGGCGGGGCGGGGAGCAAGGTCAGGGCTTCCTTTCTCAGGTGGTGGGGCAAGGCCTAAGGAGGGGGAACATGGGGGTCATTCACTACACCCCTCTTCCTCACTCCCCACAGCCCCGGGCCACATAGTCTCTCCACATTACACCCCATATGTGCCCACTTCTCTCCACCTCACAGGCCCACCCTGATCCAGACCGTCACGGTCTCTCACCCAGACCCCGGTGTGGCTTCCTCACTGGATCCTTACTCCAGCCCGGCTGCCTACATTCTTCTCCACTTGTAGCGAGAAGAATCTTTCCAAAATGTAAATCACATCACATCACTCCCCTGCTTAAACCTGCCAAAGGCTGCCCACAACACTTAGAAGAAAACCCAAACCACTTAGTGTGGCCCCCAGGCCCGCCTGATAGGCCCAGCCAGCTTCTCAGCCTCCAACTCCAGCGCTCCAGCGCTCGGGCGCACCCCCACCCTGCACTCTGTCCCAGCCACACGGGCCTCCTGCCAGGCCCGGGAATGCTTTCCGCTGGTTCCCTCTTCTGTGCCCTTTGCAGATCCTGTGCCGGGAACACCCTTCCTCTGTATCTTTGCATGGCTCTCTCCTCATCATGGGTCTCAGACAGGCCTTCCCTGGAAAATAGACCCCTCCTGTTCTCCCCTTCCAAGTCATTCTATTACACTGCCCTGTACTGCTGACTTCTAGCACCCACGGCTCTCCAAAACGATCGTATTTGTGTATTCACGTGTCAGCCTTCCCTCCCTAGACTATAAGCCTCCCGTGGGCAGGAGCTGGCCCTTTCATTACCGAGTCCTAGTGTCCAATATCACCGGGTACTTGGTACTTAGTAAGGACTCAGCCAACATCAGCCTGTATTTTTCTTATTCCTGTGCTCAGGGCTTGGTAAACAATGACACCTGCCATGTGGTCAGGCTGGGAAGGTCACTCTCAAGCAAAAGTTCTGAATCTGATCCATGAACCCAAGTTCCAGGAACTTGGACAGAAACAAAATTCCATCTGTATATTCACCAGCCTCTGACTGCAGAACATCTTGCATTTCAGGCAGGCCACAGACAGGAGGCCTATTAGCAGCACCGGGCCTTCATTGGCAACAGAAACCACAGCTACTTCCATGACCTGTCACAGCTGCTGCAGGGTCTTGAGGTATTGTTTATGCCTAAGGCACCTGTGAAATCATGACACTTCTAGATTGGCCACTGTTTATTTAGTGTGTTTAAAAAAAAAAGGCATATATTACTAAATTACAAATTTAAAAATGTTTTGATAATTATCTCAAGTCAATATAATTCTTGTCTTTTGCAATCCTATGTATTTATTTAGAGAGAGAGAGAGAGAGATCACGCACGCATGAGCAGTGGGGGAGGGGGAGGGGCAAGAGGAGAGAGAATCTTTAGCAGGTTCCACGCCCAAGAGTCAGGGGCTTGATCTCATGACCTTCAGACCTGCGCTGAGATTAAGAGTCAGAGGCTTGACCAACTGAGCCACCCAGGCGCCCCCTTAATGAGGTCTTTGGGGTTTTTTTTTTAAGATTTTATTTATTTGACAAGAGACATTGCGAGAGAGGGAACACAAGCAGGGGGAATGGGAGAGGGAGAAGCAGGCTTCCCGCGGAGCAGGGAGCCCGATGCGGAGCTCGATCCCAGGACCCCGGGATCATGACCTGAGCCGAAGGCAGACGCCTAACCGACTGAACCACCCAGACGCCCCATTTAATGAGTTTTAAAAACAGCATTCTGAGACGGGTTCACAGGCTTCACCAGATGCCAAAGGGGTTCAGGACACAGACTAAAAAGACCCCCAAAAAGGAGTCTTAAAAGAGCTGATGTGGTCGGGCCCTGGTCCTTCTCTCAGCGGACATCTAGCCCATGAGGAGAGTCTGAAGAAGCCTGGAAAAGCAATGGGAATGAGGTTTCCCACAGAGACCCCATGACCTAGGTTTCCATTTTGCCTCATTTCCTGTCTTGTTTGTGAAATCGTGACATCAACAGAGTTCCGGGCGCAGAGACCCGGCGGGAGCCCTCTGTTAGGAAGCCCTCTCTAAAAGCCGTCCTCAGAGGAGAGCCCAGCTTCCCCTCTGTCCTCCAGCTGCCCAGGCGGCCTGCAGCTCACAAGAGCGAGTCATGCAGGAGACCCTCTGGTTAAAATGAAACCCCCTCTCACCCAAAATACTCTTCAGGGCTGAAGTAAGACAAACTCTCTCCCTATCCATCTGGAATATGACAAGGGGAGGGGGAAAAAATAATGTTTCTTTTTATAAATACCCCCTAATTCGTTAAAGAAAGCAAGCCACCTGAAGTCCCAGATTGCGGCGACACAGGTTTGCTCTGGGAGGTGGAGCCCCGCACAGTGTTCTGGTTTAGGAGGGCGTCAGGTTCAAAGCCCGATTCTCGAAGCAAGCGGACAATGGAGAAAGCAATGCCATCCCCAGCATTCTTTCTGGGGCCTGCGATGTGAAAGGCGGGAGCAGGGAGCGTTGGGAGGGTTTCTTGGTGTCTCCGCCTGTGAATCATTGCTCTCACATGGGCTCACTGAATGATCTCTAATTTGGGAGCAGAGCAGCAGAAGGGCCCCAAATTAACCTCAGTTTTGTCCTCTCCATTTCACTCGGAGCTCCGTGGGCCTGAACGTCTGGTGTCATCGACCGTAAGGCTCTGGATGTCTAGGGCGGTTCATCTCAGACGCTGATCACAGTAAGAACCTGCCTGAGATATTTGACAAGTCAGGGAGTGGAGTTGGGGTGGGAACCAGCTAAAAGAAAGGACTCCCTTTCATATTACATTCTGGATCAAAGAAAAACTAAACATGCAGAGGGCGAGGAAGAAATGTCAAAGACTTGTGGAGATGACAATGTGATGCGAAAGTTTCTCAGAAGACAGGAGCGTCTGGCCGGCTCAGTCGGTAGAGCGTGCGACTCTTGATCTGGGGGTTATGAGGTTGAGCCCCACATGGAGTGTAGAGATTACTTAAAAATAAAATCTTTAGGGGCCCCGGGGTGGTGCAATTGGTTAGGCGCCCAGCTCTTGATTTCAGCTAGGGTCATGATCTCAGGGTCCTGGGATCGAGCCCCATGTCGGGCTCTATAGGCAGCGGGGAGTCTGCTTGAGATTCTCTCTCTCCCTCTCTCTCTGCCCCTCCTCCACTTGTGCTCTTTCTCTCTAAAATAAATAAATAAATCTTAAAAAAAAAGAAATCAAATATTTAAGGGCACATGGGTGGCTCAGTCGGTTAAGCATCCGACTCTTGACCTCAGCTCAGGTCTTGATCTCAGGGTTGTGAGTTCAAGCCCTTGCTGGGCTCTATGCTGAACATGGAGCCTACTTAAGGAAAAAAAAAGTAAAATAAAACCTTCTAAAACAGTTTCTCATAAAACAAAGACAGGTGGCTGTGCACAGAATATCTCAGGCTACACTAGAAAGTGCTAACAGTGAATGCTCTTGGCAAAAGGGGGGAGTTTGGGGGTGGAGCTTGGGTGTAGGAGAGAGCCTGACTTTTCTTTGTGATACACCTTTTGTACCATGTAAGTTCTGTACTATGAGCATGGGCTACTGATGAAAAATTATTTTTTATAGTCTTGCATGTCAGAAGACTTCATAGGAATGTGGCAGGTGCTTAATAAACATGTAAACCATTGTACAATTTCAGGAACTAGCATTTATAGAGTGCCTACTGTGTGCCAAAGGCCCTTGGGCAATGCCAGTTTTACAGATCTTAGGAAATGGAAGCTCAGCTAGGAGGGGAGCAAGTGGGGACTCCTCCCAGGTCTGCTGGAAGCCAGGGCTCTGCTTCTCAGCAAGGACCACACAGCCTTGCTCCCTGGAGTGAGCAGTTGGAGGCACCAGATGCTCTGGCAGGATCCAGAGAGATGCCATCTGTGAGGGAAACCTATTCTTAGAGAGCAGAGACAGTCGGTGGCGCAGCCGGCCAGCCCCCCGCAGCAGTGGGGGGATGCTGGGCAGGCAGAGCGCCAAGACTGTACCTTCAGCTGGGGGGCAGGAGAGGCTAAAAGCAGGGGGCTACTCAGTTCTTAGGACCACACTTCCTCCTACGTCTGGTTGCTATATTAGAAAGAACAGCAAACATTTACTGAGTGCTTACTTTATACTCGTCATATTGTCTAATCCTCCAGACCATGCTGTGAGGTGAGTGATAATTAGCATGCCTAGCTCATAGATGAAGAAACAGAGGTACAGAACGGTTAAGTCACTTGCCTGAGCAAACAGGGCTGAGCCCAGGCACTCTTGCTCCAAAGTCTATGTCCATAACCTCCACTGACTCTCAGCTTGCTGCACCAGAGGCCAATTTTAGTTTGGGTTTTCCTCAATAGCAGACCCCAAGACAAGGATTTCAGTGCAAGTGGTCTATTTGGGAAGTGATCCCATGTTAAGGATGAAGGAGACAGGGAAGGGTGGGGGAAGAGTTATCAAGCAAGTGACTATTGTGGGTCAGTTCAGTCCTGCTAGGGAACTCCAGGAGCCAGTGTGGAGCATGCGCCTGGGAGTTATCAGATGTGTTACTCCTCCAGACCTGCTGTGGGTGGCAGAGCAGGTGCCAGGGGCAAGCAAGAGCCCTCAGGCAGAAAGACACAGGGGTGGCAGTTGGAGAGTTGGCTGGTGTGCAGTGAAGCACGAAGTTAGCGGGGACTGGGTGGAGCACCCCCAGCATCTGCTTGCTGATGGCCACCCCCTTCCTCCTCATAACCTTGGGATCTCATTCAGCCTCCACACAGTGAATTCAGGGACCTTCCAGATCACCTTCTCCAAGTGTGCAGGTCAACTTCATAGCTGAGAACACTGCTGTTAGAATCAGGCCTAATCCCACCATGATTACCTAACAGCTCTGTGACTTGGCTTCTTCATTTGTAACAAGAGATTATGGTTGGCTGCACATCATTCCCTACTACCTTGTTACTCAAGGTACGGGTCAGACCAGCAGCACCCACAGCAGTTCCTGGAAGCCTGAGAGCAAGGCAGAACCTCTGGCCCCACCCCAAACTCGCTGAGTCAGAATCTGCATTTTAATAAGATCACCAGTGACGCATGTCTACTAGTAATTTCTAAAAAGGGACTGAAGTATTCCTACTAGACCAAGGGTCTCAAATTCATGGGCCATGGACCACATCTTCCTGGAGACCTGGTTTGATTTGTCCAACACAGTGATTTTAAAAATCGGACTGGCACATGAGTCTCCGGGGCCCCAGGTTACCATCACTCCCGAGTGCACAACATTTTCACTTATGCCCCTTGCCAGACCCCTCTGGGCATTTGAATTTGCACCCCATCCTGGAGCCCATCCTAGACTAGTTAACATTTGCATAGCATAGCTTAGGTTTCTAAATTTAACATAAGGCACTGAAAAAAAAAAAAAAAAGGGTATTGAACTCAGACAGCTCTGGGTTCAAACCCTGATTTGGCTATCATACTGGTTGTATTATCTTGGGCAAATGACTTCCCCCCTCTGATCCTCAGTGTCCACATCTGCAAAATGAGGATCAAAATACACACCTGCAAGGTCATTGTATGGGTTAAAAATAATACGTGCAAAGCACTTGGGAGGAAGTAGGAGCTCACTAAATGGAAGTAATTAGTAGTAATAGCAGCTCTTGTAGTTATACAAATCCAATGTGGACACTGGGTGTGTATTATGATTATCCTCATTTTACAAGAAACTGAGGCTCTGAGAGGTTAAGAACCTTCCCCAAGGTTACACAGTGGTGGAGTGGGGACTTAAACCCATGTCCCCTAGCTCTATATCTGCACTGTCCACTAGAATTTTCTGCAAGGATAGAAGTGTTCCATATCTGTGTTATCCAATATGGTAGCCACTAGCCACATGTGGCTACTGAGCACTGGAAATATGGCTGGTCCCCACTGAGACACGCTGTAAGGAGACACTACATACCTGATTCTGATGACCTAGTACAAGAACAAAGAATATAAAATATCTCATTAATTTTTATATTCATTTTTACATGTTAAAATGATAATATTTTAGAAATACCAGGTTAAAATCTGGAACTAAGATTAATCTCACCTGCTTCTACCTTTTTTCATGTGGCTACTAAGACAAATTTCAATTACATATACAGATCACATTGTGCTTCTATTGGACAGTGGAATTCTAGAGCTTCTCCACTAGAGCAACACCTGAGCCCAGGAATTTAATTTTTTCTAAAAACATATTTGCAACCCACTGCCCCCCAGCAAGCAATCCTGTTACATAGAATGGTCAAAGACCATAACCCACCAGAAAGAGACTTCGGGGCCCTCCTCTGAGCTCGGTGGCCCCTGACGTCCGGGGCCGGTGGGGGGTGCCTTTCCCTGGTCTCACAGTAGCCAGCAGCACAGCCGGAATCACGTCCGAGGCCCCGCAGCCCAATTCACCACTCGTTCCGCCATTGCAGAGGACCTAATGGACTTGGAAATCAGTGCTTTTGCTTCGGCAAATGGAACCCTGGGGCAGTAAAAGTTGGAGTCTGAGAACCATGATCTTGAGAAGGCAGGATCCTTTGGGGGTGATTCACCGATGGAGACAATCTCGGCTATGGAAGCCCCCATCAGCACCTTGGGGCCGTGTTACTTCGAGGGGAGGCTCTTGTTGTAGAGGAGGAAGTCTGAGATGTCATGCCAGACATTGCTGTCCTGGTACAGATAGGTCATGGAGGACTGCAGGGACGGCTGCAGAGTGGGCCGGTGGTACTCAAAAAGCCACAGCACCAGCCCCCACACCAGCCCGGTGAACAGGGGGAATGGGTCCCACCTGGGCTCGGGAATGTAGCCCTTCTCCACGCCCAGGCGGCACAGGGCAAACAGGAGGCGGGAGAGCAGGTACATGTTGATCTGCAGGGAGGGAAATAACAGGGGATTACGCGAGGGCACAGCCGCTGGGAACCTTCGGCCCAACCCCACATCCTGGGCACTACTGCACACAGGATCAGAGTTTTTCTTTCGTTTTTTTAAGTTTGTTTATTTTAGGGGTGCCTGGGTGGCTCAGCTGGTTAAGTGTCTGCCTTCGGCTCAGGTCGTGATCCCAGAGCCTTGGGATCAAGTCCCACATTGGGCTCTCTGCAGTGGGGAGTCTGCTTCTCTCTCTCCTCCCCGCTTGTTCTCTCTCTCTCTCAAATAAATAAATAAAATCTTTTTTTAAAAAGTTTATTTATTTTAGTAATCTCTACACCCCATGTGGGGCTTGAACCCACGACCCCAAGTTCAGGAGTCCCATGCTCTTCCAACTGAGCCAGCCAGAAGCGCCCAGATCAGTGTTTTTCAAAAGCTAGTGTGCAAGATGATTTGAAGTGATTTGATGATCCAAATGATATGTAGTAGGTATTTTAAAGATTTATTTGAGAGAAAGAGAGAGAAGGGAGGGGGAGAGGCAGAGAGAGAATCTTAAGCAGGCTCCACGCTCAGCGCAGAGTGTGACACAGGGCTCAGTCTTAAGATCCTGAGATCATGACCTGAGCTGAAATCAAGAGTCAGATACTTTAACAGACTGAGCCACCCAGGCGCCCCTGTAGTAGGCATTTTAATGTTGCTATTCATTTCATTTCTGTAATTTATCATTCTTGTTCATTACGATTTTTAGAAAATGAATATATTTACATGGTTCAAAACTGAAAGGTAACCTGACACCAAAAACACAACCCACACAAAAATAAAAAATTGGTAAATTGGATCTCATCAAAATTTAAAATTGTTAGGTTGCAAAAGCCCATACAAAGAGGCTGAAGAGAAAAGCTACAGCTGGGAGAAAATATTTACAAACACACATCTGACAAAAACTCGTACCTGGAATATATTTAAAAAAAAAAACTCTCAAAATTCAATGGTAAAAAAAGAAGCAATCCAATCAGAAAATAAGCAAAAGATGGGAACAGATGTTTCACTGAACTGGTTCTACAGATGGAGAATAAGCACATGTAAAGATGTTCAACATCATTAGCCTTTAGGGAAATGCAAATTAAAACCAAAATGAGAAGCACTACACACCTATCCAAATGGCTAAAATTAAAAATGTGATATACCAAATGCTGGCTAGGATGTAGAGAAAATGGATCATTTGTATATTCCTGATGGGAATGTACAATAGTACAGTCACTCTGGAAAATAGACTGGCAGTTTCTCAAAAAATTAAACATGCATGGGGGTGCCTGGCTGGCTCAGTCAGTTAAGCATCCAACTCTTGGTTTCGGCTCAGGTCATGATCTCGGGGTCTTGAGATCGAGCCCTGCGTGGGTCTCCGTGCTCAGCGTGGAGTCTGCTTGAGATTCTCTCCCTCTACCTCTCCCTCTGCCCCTCTCCCCATTTGTGCTTTCCTTGAGCTCTTTCTCTCTCAAATGAATAAATAAATAAAATCTTTAAAAAATAAATAAACATGCACGGGGCAGCTGGCTGGCTCAGTAGGTGGAGCGTGTGACTCTTGATCTTGGGGTTCTGAGTTTGAGCCTCACATTGGCTATAGAGATTACTTTAAAATAAAAATCTTTAGAAAAATAAAACATGCAGGGCGCCTGGGTGGCTCAGTCGGTTAAGCGACTGCCTTCGGCTCAGGTCATGATCTCAGGGTCCTGGGATCGAGCCCCGCATTGGGCTCCCTGCTCAGCGGGAAGCCTGCTTCTCCCTTTCCCACTCCCCCTGCTTGTGTTCCCTCTCTCGCTCTCTCTCTCTGTCAAATAAATAAATAAAATCTTAAAAAAAAAAATTAAACATGCCATGTATCATATGACCCAGCAATTGGACTCTTGGGCATTTATTCCAGAGTAATGAAAACCTACGGTCACCAAAAACTTGTACAAGAATATTCTTAGCTGTATTTCTAATAGCCAAGAACTAGAAACAACCCAGATGTCCTTCAATGGGTGAATGTTTAAACAAAGTGTGGGGCGTCCATGCCCTGGAATGAACTATCGATACACACACAACTTGGATGAATCTCCAGGGAATTATGCTGCGTGCAAAAAGCCAATCCCTAAAATCGGAGGGGGAGACGAACCATGAGAGACGGTGGACTCTGAAAAACAAACTAAGGGTTCTAGAGGGTAGGGGGGTGGGAGGATGGGTTAGCCTGATGATGGGTATTAAAGAGGGCACGTTCTGCAGGGAGCACTAGGTGTTATGCACAAACAATGAATCATGGAACACTACATCAAGAACTAATGATGTAATGTATGGTGATTAACATAACAATAAAAAAGCCAATCCCCAAAGGTTACATACTGCAATGACTCTAACTTATATAACGTTTTTGAAATGACAAAATTTTAGAAATGGAGGTCAGAGTAGTTGTTGCCAGGGGTCAGGGAAAGGAAGGGAGGGGGAAGGAGATGGTGTGACCATGATTCCTTGGAAGTTCATAGACCAGTGACATTTCTTCTTTTTTTTTTTTTAAAGATTTTATTTATTTATTTGAGAGAGAGAATGAGAAAGAGAGAGCACATGAGAGGGGGGAGGGTCAGAAGGAGAAGCAGACTCCCTGCTGAGCAGGAAGCCCGATGCGGGACTTGATCCTGAGACTCCAGGATCATGACCTGAGCCGAAGGCAGTCGCTTAACCAACTGAGCCACCCAGGCGCCCACCAGTGACATTTCTAACAAAAAAAGCAAAGCTAGGGAAACTTTCTCAAAACTCAAAATGCTCATATCTATAGATTCCACAGTTCCGTGGTAAGGAAATTTCAGATGGATTAACACGTGTTAAGAAGATGTCCAAACAAAGATGTGGACTAGTGCGTGTGTCCTGGCAAAAGGCTAGAGACCCTCTAAGTGTCCATGCAGAGGAGACTGGGGAAATCAAGGCTGGTCCATCCACCCAATGGAGAGTCCTGCTGATATTAAAAAGAATGATGGACTGACAAGAAAGGTCTCCCAAATACATCATTCTGTGAAGAAAAAGTGTGGTGTGATCTCATTGGTGGAAAACTCCCAGTATGTACAGATAGAAGCACAGATAATTTATGAAGGGCCACACAAGATATAGTTAAAGTGGGGCACCTGGGTGGCTTAGTCGGTAAAGTGTCTGCCTTCAGCTCAGGTCATGATCCCAGGGTTCAGGGATCAAGCCCCACATAGGGCTCCTTGCTCAGCAGGAGTCTGCTTCTCCCTCTCCTTCTGCACCTCCGCTCATGCTCTCTCTCTCAAATAAATAAATTAAGTCTTTAAAAAAAAAAAAAAGACACAGGAAAAGTGTTCCTGGACAGTGCCTTGACAACTGGAGGGGGATGGGAGCTTTCTTTTCAATTTATTTTCTAATTTTATTGTGATGCACCCCAAGCACCTAGAAGTGTGCCAGACACACAGGGGGGTGCTTAGTCTGGTTTTTTTTTTAAGATTTCATTTATTTATTTAAAGATTTTATTTATTTATTTATTTGAGAGAGAGAGAGAGAAACAGCATGAGAGGGGATAGGGTCAGAGGGAGAAGCAGGCTCCCCGCTGAGCCGGGAGCCAGATGTGGGACTCGATCCCAGGACTCCAGGATCATGACCTGAGCCGAAGGCAGTCGCTTAACCAACTGAGCCACCCAGGCGCCCAAAGATTTTATTTATTATTTGACAGAGAGGGAGAGAGAGCAAGAGAGGGAACACAAGCAGGGGGAGTGGGAGAGGGAAAAGCAGGCTTCCCACTGAGCTGGCTCGGTCAGTAGAACATACAACTCTTGATCTCAGAGTCATGAATTTGAGCCCCATGTTGGACATAAAGCTTACTAAAAAAAAAAGAGGAAATGACTCTGGAGTAACATTTCCATAAAACAAAACTTATTACACTCAAAGAATGATCTCTTATTCTCTTGCCCTTTTTCTGGGTTAAAATCCCATTTTTTTGTGAGATGAAATGCTAGTTGTTGTTTTAAAGTCCTTCTTGGGCGACATGAAAAGTCAGCAGCCCCTCCCTTTGCCTCCCTCAAATTTATTAAATACTTTCAAATTATAAAAATCATGTTTAATTTTCACATTAAAAAAAATGCAGACTAGGGGCGCCTGGGTGGCTCAGTCATTAAGTATCTGCCTTTGGCTCAGGTCATGATCCCAGGGTCCTGGGACCAAGTCCCACATCGGGCTCGCTGTGTCTCTGTCAAAGAAATAAATAGAATCTTAAAAAAAAAAAAAAATTATTTATTTGACAGCAAGAGAGAGACAGCAAGAGAGGGAACACAAGCAGGGGGACTGGGAGAGGGAGAAGCAGGCTTCCCACCGAGCAGGGAGCCCGATGCAGGGCTCATCCCAGGACCCCGGGATCATGACCCGAGACGAAGGCAGACACATAACGACTGAGCCACCCAGGTGCCCCTAATCTTTTTTTTTTTTTTTTTTTAAAGATTTTATTTATTTGACAGAGAGATACAGCGAGAGAAGGAACACAAGCAGGGAGAGTGGGAGGGGGAGAAGCAGGCTTCCCGCGGAGCAGAGAGCCCGATGCGGGGCTCGATCCCAGGACCCTGGGACCATGACCTGAGCCGAAGGCAGACGCTTAACGACTGAGCCACCCAGGCGCCCCGCCCCTAATCTTTTTTAATCGTACTCATTTCAGCAGCACATAGACTAAAACTGGAACGAAATTCATGAAGCGTTCCCTATTGAAAAAAAACAACAACAAAAAACTTTGCTCCAGAGAACACCACACATATGGACTTGGGGAACCATGGAGTTTCAGCAAGCTGCTTGGTTTACAGACAAGGAAATGGAGAGAAAGTGACCTTTCCAAGGTCACACAGGGACCGGTGGATCACAGACGCTCGGACATGGAAGGGAGCAAAGAGTTCATCTTCTTTGACCTCCACCCCTAATTCTATACCTGGACCACGTCCCTCCCCGTCCCGGCCTCTGATCCCTGAGCCTATCCTGGGGAAAGGTCTTTACCTGGCTGTTGATGTTATTGTTCTCTCCAAACACCAGCAAGCCCCCAATGAAGGCAGCCAGGAACGAGTGCACCTGGTAGGTCTTGCCCTGCACGTGGGCCTGCAGGGCGCAGAGCCCCTTATAGGTGAACACAAAGTAGGCCAGGTTCCGGGAGTGGGTGTACGTGGCTTGCAGGATGGCCCGCAGCTTCTCCTGGAGGCTGAACAAACACAGGGAACCCACATGAGTGGCGGCCCAACCGCTCCTAGGGCATTCACCCACTGGGCATACAAACCTGAGCCAGCCCCAGGCCTCTAGCTTCCATGTCCTTGGGGCTGCTCCCCCACTGGATTCAGGCCTTGACTCCATGTCACTTCCTCAGAGAGGCCTTGCCTGACTATCCTGTCCCCTTTTCCCTCACAGCTCTTCCACCAGCTGACATTAATAGGCTTAATCTCTTCTCACTCCCACCCCACCCCAGTGGAAGCTACCAGAGGGTGGTGTCTACACCTGGCTTGTTGATCCCCAGGGCCCAGAGCAGGGCCTGGCACATAGTAGGTGCTCAGTAAATGACTTTTTGGCATAAGCATGTGAGGACATGAACGAGGGAGTAAGGGAGAGCCTACTATGTACTGGAATTGGGGATAGGATTCTGAGGAAAAAATGCTTGCTGCCTTCATAAGGTATATGATCTAATGGAAGAGAGAAACATAATCACAAAGCAAGGGTCAAACTTTGACCTTGACCAGAGATGATCCTAGGATCCGAAGGATGAGGAGTCAATGAGGTGGAGAGGGGAGAGGGGTTGCATCCCAGGCAGAGGGATCAGCACGTGCAAAGGTCCAGAGGAGGGACAGAGAGTGGGGAGTAAAGGAACAGCAAGGAACCATCAAGGCCTGAGCAGAGAATGTGAGGGGAAAGAATGTGAGGAGAGGTGAGGACATGCAGTTTTGTTTTTATCCTGAGAAAAGTGCACATTTAAGTTGGGCAAGGATTCTGTTTATCTTTTTTTTTTTAAGATTTTTTTTTTAATTTATTCATTTGACAGAGATAGACACAGCGAGAGAGGGAACACAAGCAGGGGGAGTGGGAGAGGGAGAAGCAGGCCTCCCGCAGAGCGAGGAGCCCGATGCGGGGCTCGATCCCAGGACTCTGAGATCATGACCTGAGCCAAAGGGAGACGCTTAACGACTGAACCACCCAGGCGCCCCTCTGTTTATCTTTTAAAATTAAGTCACTAGGGGGCAGTGAGAGAACACAGGGAGAAGAGCAGCAAGTACTCCCGGAAGTCAATTCAAGGATCGTACAACCAAGTGCTCTCAAGGCTAGATGAGGGCCTTGAAAGTGAGTCTACTGGAACCTGTGGAAATCTGCCAGGTGAGTGGGGACAGCCAGGAGTCAGCTGGTTCTCGCCTGAGAGGAACATGAACCCGGTGTTGCCGGTTTTTTGTTGTTTTTTTTTAAGTACACACTGTGCCCAACATGGGGCTCGAACTCATGACCCCAAGATCAAGAGTCACATGCTCTACTGACTGAGCCAGCCAGGTGCCTCTGGTGTTGCCAGTTCTAATGCAAGCAAGCTGGATTTCCCAGTTAAGTGTTGGTGCTAATCTTGCCTTCACAAATGCTTCTAGGGGCGCCGGGGTGGCTCAGTCAGTTCAGCGTCTGCCTTCAACTCAGGTCATGATCCCGGGGTTCTGGGATCGAGTCCTCCGTCGGGCTCCATGCTCAGCAAGGAGCCTGTTTCTCCCTCTGCCCCTCCCCCTACTTGTGCGCACACACTCTCAAATAAACAAATAAAATCTTTAAAAAAAAAAGCAATCCTAAATAAAAATACAAAAAGAGAAACTCTTGCGAGCTGGATTTGGCCAGTAGGCTGTCCATGTGTGCTTCTTACAAGCGCCAGGTGAGGTTACCTACGTTAAAAACCAGGCCACAGAGGGTTTCTGAGAAGTGCCATGAGGGGAAAGCTATGGGGGATGGAGGGAGACCAAGCAGTCTGAGTGAGCGAAGGAGGTCACAGACAGTTTTCCCAAGGAAGTGATCCCCACATGACCGGTATGGGCTGCCAGGAAGGAAATAAAGGTGGGGTGAAGAGAAAAGGGTGCTCCTGGCAGGGGTTACCGCATGAGCAAATGTGCGGCGCTGGAACGACATGAGGCGTGGCAGGGAGTCCTGTGCGCCCGGGCACCCCCGGGTGGACGTAAGGGAGGAGTGTGGGGACGCAGCTGAGCCCAGGCAGCAGAGGGCCTTTGGGGTTTTGTGTTTATTTTAATCCCAGTATAGTGAACATATGCTGTTATATTAGTTTCAGGTGTACAAGACAGTGACTCAACAGCTCCATACATCACCCAGGGCTCGACACGACTAGTTGCAGAGGGCCTTTTACGGAAGGAAGCTGGGCTTCTTTGGAGGACGGTGGCAGCCCGGGGAGTTTTTGAGCAGGAATAACAGGATCAGAGTCGTACTTGAGGAGATGGTGGTGGCAGGGGGGCCGGCTAGACCTAGCTAGGAAGCTAGTGCAAGTGTCCTGGCACTGAGGGCTGACCATACTCTCCCCCAGTCTGAAGGGTGTGCAGAGGGGATGGGTACCTGCCACTCCGGAAGAGAAAGGTCATGACGAGCGCGTGAGGGGCCCGGATTTTGGCTCCATAGCTGTAGAAATGAAAGGGAACAGTTATTACGGCATCACTGCCTCATAGTTTCTTTCTGGGCTCTCTGACGCCTTTTCCCACCCTCCTCCAGCCCTAATCTGAACCTCACCCTGGAAGGGAAGATAATGCTGGCTTCCAAGTTAGATCTAGGTTCAAACTCCAGCTCTGACACCTTCGTGGGAGTGGGGCCTCAGGCTTGCTACTTCACTTCTCTGAGCCTCGGTTTGCCTAACAGCAAAAGGGGACGTCAGGCTAGAGGGCTGGTTATAATTTCAATGAAAGGGGACAATGTGTGTCAAAGGCCTCCACCGACCCCACCTAACCCCACCGGTGTGGAGTTGCCCCCTCGGTTCTACCTTGACCTTCCTTCCCGTTGCAGTCAGACCCATCTTTTTTAACACTTAAATCATATCACATCCCCTCTTAAAAGCGGCCAATACCTTTCCAATACTCAGCATAAAATCCAGGTTCCTCCCACAGCCTTGAAAGTGCTGCAGGATTTGGCCCCTTACTTCTCCTACCTCCAGCGCCCCTCTTCTCCTGCTCCAGCCCCATGGCCTTCCCCTAGTTCCTCTGACCCACCAGCTTCTCCCCTGCCTCTGGGCAGGCTGTTCCCTCAGCCCGGACTGCTCTTCCTTGCTCCTCACGTGGCAGCCGACTCCTCAGCCTTCCAGTCTCCGTGAGCACCTCTGTGGAGGCTTCTTACCCACCAGACGAGGTTAGGGCAATATTTTCATTGCCAAGGAGCTCCAACCTTCTCTGCAGTGGTTTACAGTCCTGGGTTAATGACTCGATTACTTGCAATTATTTATTCTATTCTAATTATCTCTTTCCTCCACTAGACCGTGGGCCTTGTGAGGGAGGGACTGTGTTTGATTTGTTTTCTGCAGAGTCCCCAGCACCTTGCATGGTACTTGGCATATAGTAATGTGCTCCATACATGATTGCTGACTGATTCTAGAACAGCCCTTAATTATTTGTGAGGGAAGGTAATTTCTGGAAGGTTCTACCTTTAGCTTGGACTATCTTAAAGTTAACAAATTCCCTAAAACAGTTGCTGAGTAACATCGTACCTCCTTCTACCTATTCAAAATGTACCTCTTTCCAACTATGATACACAGGAGGACCTCAGCTTTGTAAAAATGGATTAAAAAAAAAAAGACTGGAAGGAAATATGCCACAATGTTATTAGCAACGTTCCCTGAGCCGGAGGAATATGGGAATTTACTTTTGTCTTTTTTTAACTTTTCCATATTTCCAAAATGATCTGTAATGGTTAAGCACTTTTAAAATTAAAATAATTGAAGAGTGTTTAGGTGGCTCAGTCAGCTGAATGATCATGATCATTCAGTTGATCATGATCAACTCTTGATTTCGGCTCAGGTCATGATCTCAGGGTGGTGAGATTGAGCCCCGCACTCAGGACACTCAGAGGGGAGTCTGCTTGAGATTCTCTCTGTCCCTCTCCCTCTGCCCCTCCCCACCCAGTGCTCTCCCTCTCTCTCTAAAATAAATAAATCTTTTTAAAAAATTAAATTAAAATAATTGAAATAAACATTTTTTTAAAAGTAGGCTCCATGCCCAAGGTGGGACTTGAACTCATAACCCTGAGATCAGACCCATACGCTACCAACTGAGCCAGCCAGGTGTCCCGAAATAGACATTTTAAATGTTACACAAATGCCTCTTTTTAAAGACTCAAACCTCTTCCCCTGACTCTCCTTTTATTTCCTCATTTGAACAACTGGGAAATATGTGAACATGTACACATTCACCTTCATTGTTTTTTGTTTGTTTTTAAAAGATTTTTATCTTTAATCACACCCAATGTGGAGCTCGAACTCAGAACCCCAACATCAAGTTGCATGCTCCACAGACTGAGCCAGCCAGGTGCCCCCATTGCTTTAACTATACTCAAGTGGGTAGAAGAAAGGAAATCCTATAATATTTGGTGCCAAAGCCCTGCCATGTTTTGCTGTGTGAGCTTGGATAAATCGCTTAACCTCTCTGAGCCTCCCTTCTCCCATCAGCAAAAAGTATTCTCTATTTCAGAGTTGCTTCTGGCAGTTAAGGATATAGCACATGTAAGTGTTCTAGTTCAACCAACATTAGCGTCTCTTCCTTTCTTGTTCTTTATTGGATTCCCTCTTGGCCCACCAAGTTCTCCAGCTCCAGGTCCTGATCTCGCCAAGCTACAAGGTCTAAAAATCCTCGATGGCCTCCTTGATACAATGACCAGGAGCTACGTATTGTTGTCATACAAGTATCTGTGACTGTTCATCACAGGCTTGTTAGAAACAGCAAAAGACTGGAAGCAAACCCATGTCCATCCACAGGGGGCTTTCAGATGAATAAATAATGGTCCCACCACTGAGTGGAATGCTCCACAGATGTAAAAGACTGAGGCAGCTCTTTGTGCACTGCAGGATATAGTAGAGCGAGATGTGTAAAATGTAAAATTGTGTAAAATGAGGTAATTCTTCCATAAATCTAAAATTATTTCAAAATAAAACTTGTCTTAAAGGTGTGGGAAAGAGGGCGCCTGGGTGGCTCAGTTGTTAAGCGTCTGCCTTCGACTCAGGTCATGATCCCAGGGTCCTGGGATCGAGTCCCACATCGGGCTCCCTGCTTGGTGGGAAGCCTGCTTCTCCCTCCCCCACTCCCCCTGCTTGTGTTCCCTCCCTCCCTGTGTCTCTCTCTGTCAAATAAATAAATAAAATCTTAAAAAAGGTGTGGGGAAGAATATACGTATCTGCTTGTATATGCAGACAGTATTTCCGGAGGGAGACATAAGAGACTGGGCACAGGCAACACCTCCAGGGAGGGGGATTCGGTGACAGAAGAATGGAGTGGTCAGGACTTCATCGCATCTAACTTTTAATTTTTTTTAAGTAGGCTTCATGCCCATTGTGGGGCTTGAACTCAGAACCCCGAGATCAAGAGTCACATGCTCCACCGACTGAGCCAGCCACATGTCCCATAGCATCTTTTTTTTTAAGATTATTTATTTATAATAAATAAATAATTTATTTATTATAAATTAATAAATAGCTCGACGTGGGGTTGGATCCCAGGACACTGGGATCACGACCTGAGGCAAAGGCAGACGCTCAACCAACTGAGCCACGCAGGCACCCCTGAATGTTACCTAAAATTTTTTTTAAGATTTTATTTATTTTTTTAAGATTTTATTTATTTGTTTGACAGAGAGAGAGCGAGAGAGGGAACACAAGCAGGGGGAGTGGCAGAGGGAGAAGCAGGCTTCCCGCCGAGCAGAGAGCCCGATGCGGGGCTCGATCCCAGGACCCCGGGATCATGACCTGAGCCGAAGGCAGACGCTTAATGACTGAGCCACCCAGGCACCCCTAAGATTTTATTTTTAGGTAATCTCTACACCCAACATGGGTGAGCCAGCCTGGAGATCAAGAGTTGCATGCTCTGCTGATTGAGCCAGCCAGGCACCCCTAATGTTACCTTATTTTTAAAATACAAATTAGGGGCACCTCTCATTTTCACTCCTGCTTTGTCCTAAGAATACCTTGGCAAAGGGCCACTGATGTTATCCCACCTTAGTCACAGTAAGGCGGGGCTGATAAAATCTTCAGGCCCAGTAGGAACCAATGCTACCTGATTCTGGGTTTGCATGGAAGCCAAGAGCCTGGCACTGGGGTCAGGGATCCCTGGGTTTGAATCCTGGCCCCAACATTGGCCAAGTGATGTGACCATGAGTAATGAGTGTACCTCTCTGAGCCAGTCTTCTACTTGGAAAATGGGGACAATCACAATTCCTACCTTGCACACTTACTCATTTGTTCAATAAATATTTGAGAGCCTACTGTGTATCATGTAGTAGGAATACACCAAGGAACAAAGTAGATAAAAATTTCTGTCCCCATGAAGCTCACTTTCTAGTGAGAAAGACAAAGCATAAAAACAGGATACATAGGGGAACTTAGTGTCAGATGGTGACAAGTACTATGGAGAAAAATTAAGTATGGGAGGAGGTGAGGAGTTCAGGGATGACCTTATTGAGGAGGTGACACTTAAGCAGAAGCCTGAAAAGGTGAGGGAGTGATCTAGGCAGATGTCCATATGAATATAACAATAACACCAGCCAACACTTATATATATACTATGCACTGTGCTAAGCATTTTACATATATTGATTCAATCCTCTGACAGTATAAGTATTTTTTTTAAGATTTTACTTATTTATTTGATAGAGAGAGAAAGCGCACAAGCAGGGGGAACGGCAGGCAGAGGGAGAGGGAGAAGCAGGCTCCCCGCTGAGCAGGGAGCCCGATGCGGGACTGGATCCCAGGACCCCGGGATCATGACCTGAGCCAAAGGCAGCTGCTTAACCGACTGAGCCACCCAAGTGCCCCAGTATGATGTAATATTATTATCATCCCCATTTTATAGAAATTGAGGGTTAGAGAGGCTAATTGACTTGTTAATGATCACACAGGTAGGGCTGCCTGGGTGGCTCAGTCAGTTAAGCGTCTGCCTTCGGCTCAGGTCATGATCCCAGGGTCCCAGGATCGAGTCCCGCAGGGGGCTCCCCTGCTCAGTGGGGAGCCTGCTGCTCTCTCTGCCTCCTGCCTCTCCCCCTGCTATTGCGCTTTCTTTCACTCTGTGAAATACATAAATAAAATATTTTTTAAAAAGATCACACAGGTAGGTGGCACCAAGATTCGAGCAGAGGCAGTCCAGAGGTACTCTCACCACCATGCCATGCTGCCACTAGCATGTCAACTCCAAGAGGACAGGTCTTTGTTCAGTTTGTTCTCTGCTGCATCCCCAGTTCTGGCACAGTAGGTGCTCAACAAAAGATAGCTGTTATGCATGAGTTTTAAAGGAGGGGGAGCTCCCCTGCAGTTACCAGCCAGGTGAAATGACCCCAAGACCTCCTTTCCAGCAGATCTGATGGCCAGGGTGGAATCAATTTGCCCAGCAAATATCTGCACCTTCTTTTACAGTCGTTGTCACTCCTCAGGCTTATGCCCCAGGAGTCCCCTGGGCTGGATGGGGACTTAGAGCTAGAGTCATACAGACGGGGAGTGAGATGTGGGATGTGAGCCCACAGGCAGCTTAATGGTGGGAGCATGCACACAACGCGCCGCTGGCCTGCTAGATGCCAGTGGCCACTTCTCATTGTGCAGATGGGTCCGTTGAAGCCAGACAGACCCAAGGTCACAAAGCAGGGGGGATGGGGTGGGGGTCGGCCCAATCGAGGGGATACAGGGGCTGGAGTGGGAGGTGGTCAAGGCAAGTGCCCCAGGTTGCAAAGCACGGAGGACCCAGAAACAGCTTAATGGGAGCCGCAGCTCAGAAGGCGCAAGGAACCCAAAATCCCCAGCGCCCACTGTGCAGATGGTGGACACCGAGGCCTAGAAACACACTAGGGCTGCTCAAGGGCACACAGGGGGACAACGCGCCCAGAATCCGCTCCTCAGACCTCAGCCGCACCCACCCCTCAGCCCATGCCCAGCCCGACGCCCCACTCACACTGCCCCGTTCCGGAAGCCTTTAAGCATGGCCAAAGCAGAGTGGTAGCGGCGCTTGCGCAACAGTTCGTTGACCGCATGGAGCAGGGCTAGTAGCTGCGGCGGGACGGCCATAGTGCGAGAGGCGCGCGGGGTGGGGAGCGAAAAGCAGCACCAGCACTGACATCCCCGGTTCCGGCGGCGCCGCAGGCCGCACTGGACCGAGCAGCGCGTCTTTGCGCTCATAGGTTGCGTCTGCTGTCACTCTCACGGGAAGAGCCGATCAAAGGGCTTCCTCGTCTCACACGGGGAACGAGATGCACGCACTCTCCCAAATAGCGGCCTGATTGGAAGAGTGGGAGAGTTTGTAACCAATCACAACGGGCTCCGCCCGACCAGCTCTAAGGAAGGTCAGAATCACACACGTGGATTTGTCCAACCAGGTAGCCTGTTTCCTTCGTGCTTGGCAGGAGTTATGTCACTTGAGAGCTTGAAAGGACGTTTCTTGAAAGAGGAGCCGCCCTCCCTAGAATCGGGAGGGTGACACTGGGAGGAGCCAGGCCTCACAAGTCTTTACACAAGACTGTTCTGATTGGGTAACAGTGCTCCTAGCAAATTTACTAGGGCATAAATTATATGAGATCTCAAGGGCTTCCATGTATTCTTCAAATCCAAACTCCTTCCCACAGTCCACAAGAAAGACTATAATCTGGCCCCTGCTTCTTTCTCTAACCTCATATCCTGTCACTTGGCCCCTCGCTCACTCCTCTCCAGCCAAACTGGCCTCGTTGCCGTTCCTTGAGCATGCCAAGAAGGCTCCTGTCTCAGTGCCTTTGCACCTAATATTTTCCTGACTGGTATGCATTACCCCCATGGTGGGCTCCTTTTCAATCTTCAGGTTTCAGATCAAATGCCACCTCTTCGGAGAGGGCTTCCTAGATGTCCCATCTAAAGTAGCACTGCCCTCTCTTTCATTTCCTCCATATAACTTTTCACTCTTTGAAATTATTTGTTTGCTACATTTCCACTGTCCATTGCCCCTACCAGGCCGTAAATTCCATGACCGCAGAAACTTTGTCTGTCTTGTTTTCTGCTGTAACCCCAGCACTTAGCACATGGTGGGTGTCCAACATATGCTTGTTGAAGCAATACAGTTTGGGGTTGACATCTCCCAGAGTACTGGTGGGTGGAATTTATGTGTGTCACTATGTGGAGTTGTCATTGGATAACAGCTACACGTTGAGCTGTGGCTGTGGCTTGTGAGGGTATCCCCTAGGACTTGGGCTATGTGGTATTTATCTGGGATATTATTGCCTGGGTCAGTGTCAGAAGATGGTGTCAGAGGTCAGTGAAGGAGGAATTATACTTGGCCTATTTTAACACCGAAAATGGATTTTCTTTCTTCTTCCTTTTCAGTAATAGTGGGCTGGTTTATTCAGGTAATCCTTCCTCTGAAAATAGTGGCAATGTTACATAAAATATAAAAATTTTCCCCTGAAAAACACTGAAAGGTTTATAAGTGATTGTCTTCTCCTTGTGTCTTCACATGGTCTGTAACACTGCCTGTGTGTACATGGTCTGTACATACCTTTGTCCAAATTTCCTCTTTTTATAAGGACACCAGTCATACTGGATTAGGACCCACTTATATAACCTCGTTTAATCTTAAATACTTCTTTTAAAGGCCCAATATCCAAATACAGTCACATTCTGAGGTACTAGGGGTTAGAATGTCAATATATGAATTCTGGGGGAAAACAATTCAGCCCATAGCAATCACCATGTTTTGCTGTCTCCTACCAATGCCAATGAACAAGATGTCAGGGCCCAGCATTGCTATGTGTGTCCTTACTTCCTTTCCCTTGCAACTGGGACTCTGGTTTAAGCTGCTCATGATTTCTCCCCTCCCCATGGAGAAGTTAACTTTTCTGGGGTGGCAGGAGCACTCATTGTGGAGGGGGACACTGGAAGTTTCCCAAACTTTCCTTCTTCCCTACATGGCTCCATGCCTAGAATTACCATATTACTTATACCAGGAGTCTCTAAGCTGTGATTTGATTCAGTTCAGTGCCAACCAGCTGGCCTTAAGGAAATAGGACTGACAGATTTGGGTGGAAGAAGAGATGGAGGCGAGGAGCAGAAAGTTCAGAGCAGGAGTCAGCCTGAATGGGGAGCCTGCTGGAAATGGATTCTACATCCCTGAAAACTCATTCAGTTACTATATCAGCCAGGTGGTCAAATAACAAGCATTTCCCAGGTTACTCTGTGTCTAGCTCTGAGTTCCAACCAGAATGGATGCACTACCTCCTCTGCTCAGAGAGCTCCTATTGAGGGGTTGGAGGAAAGGGGAATTTCCAAGAAAAGTAGCACATGACAGCAGTAGTACCAGGTACTGTGAGAAACGGGAACAGCAAGGGAGGGAGGGATCCCATCCAGGCAGATCATGGAAAGCTTTTTAGAGGAGGCACAAAGGCAAGCTTGTGTTGTTCCAGTGAGGGTGGAAAAACAGCATTTTGGTAAGAGAGAACAGAATTTGCAAAGTCCTGAAGAAGAGATAAAAATCAACTATGTGCACATACACCTGGATATATGGAAATATATGGAAAACTGTCAAGACTTGTATTAGTGGAAACTTTTACTGTCCAGTGCCTCCCATCACCCTCAGAACTAAACTTCAACCCTCACACTGGCCTTGTCTGTCTCTCCATCCTCATCCTCATACCTCACTTATTATCCTCAGTTGTTCCTTTACATTCTTTGGCCTTCTTTCATTTAGACCTCAGGGTCTTTGCACTTGCCCAAGATGATATAGCTAATAAGCTCTGCATGTTTCCTTTTCTCCATGTGACTTCATATCATTTCTCAAGTCCACCTCCTCAGAGAGGCCTTCCCTGACCACCCTGTCTAAAGTAGCTTCCTTTCCTGCAGAGGAAAGAAAACATATAATCACAGAATATTTCTTTTTTTTTTTCCTTGTTTATAGTTCATCTTGCCTGCAGGACTAAGACTCCATGAAAGCAAGGATTTTTGTATTTATGTTCATGGCTGTGTCTCCAGCATCTAGAACAATGTCTAACACAATATGTATATAATAAATATTTTTTTTAAAGATTTTATTTATTTGGGGGAGAGAGAGAGAGAGAATGAGTGGAGAGAGGGACAGAGGGAGAGGGAGAAGCAGGCTCCCCACTGAGCTGGGAGCCTGATGTGAGGCTTGATCTCAGGACCTTGGGATCATGACCTGAGCCAAAGGCAGAGGCTTAATCAACTGAGCCACCCAGCCACCGCTGTAATAAATATTTTAAATTACAGTTAACCCTTGAAGAACATGGGTTTGAACTGTGCAGGTGAATTTTTTATAGTACAGTGCTATAAATGTATTTTCTCTTCTTTTTTTTAAAGATTTACTTTATTTATTTGAGAGAGAGAGAGCGAGACCCAAGTGGGGAGAAGGGTAGAGGGGGAGGGAGAGAGATAACCCCAAGCAGACTCCCCGCTGAGTACCAAGCCTGATTCAGGGCTCAATCTCACAACCCTGAGACAGTGACCTAACTAAAACCAAGAGTCAGAAGCTTAACCTACTGAGCCACCCAGGTGCCCCCTCCATTTTCTAAAGATTTTATTTTTAAGTAATCTCTACACCCCATGTGGTGCTCAAACTCACAACCCCGAGATCAAGAGTCACATGCTCTACCAATTGAGCAAGCCAGATGCTCCTCTTCCTTATGATTTTCTTAATAACATTTTCTTTTTTCTAGCTTTATTATAAGAATACAGTATATAATACATATACAAAATATTTGTTAACTGACTTTATGCTATTGGTCACGGTAGGCTATTAGTAGCTACATTTTTGAGGAGTCAAAAGTTGTACACAGGATTTTCAACTGTGCAAGTTTGGTGCCCCAACCCCCATGTTGTTCAAGGGTCAATTCTAACCAAATGAGTGTGAATGTATTAATATATTACTTGAATAATTTTTAAAAAGAACAGTTATATTGAGAAGCTCTTGAAGGGGAGAGATGACAAGAATCTGAGGCCATTTGATCAATGAGGATGTTAAAGGAAAGACAAGGAGGTGGGAACCCTGGCCTGACTCCTGTCAGAGAGGCAATGGAAAGGGGGGTTTAGGCCTTGAGGAAGGCCCTGGGTCTCCAAAGTTCCCGGGGAAAGAGGGTGAGGCATACAACCTGGGAAAATGGTAGGTTCTCTGTGCGGGACATTTGCTCAGGGCTTGCTGTGCAAGGGTGAATAGGAAGGGGAAGGTGTGTAGTGCTGGGGAAGACAGGGGTGGTATTTGGGTCAAGATGGGGAGTTCACCAGTAGAAATGGGCCTTGAGGGGGTGTGTAGGTGGACGGTCTGTGAGGCAACTTATCAGGAACAGTGGCTGGTAATGTTCCATAAGGGCAAAGGACCTTTGAACAAAAAAAAATTTTTTTTTTTACTCTTAGGAGTTACATATTTATTTAGTGAATATGAGAAAATGAAAATTGTGATTCTTATGGTTATTACGTTGGATGAGACTAAAATAGGTATTTATTTATTTATTTTTAAATTTTTATTTATTTATTTGACAGAGAGACACAGTGAGAGAGGGAACACAAGCAGGGGAAGTGCCAGAGGGAGAAGCAGGCTTCCCGCAGAGCAGGGAGCCTGATGCGGGGCTCAATCCTAGAACTCCAGGATCATGACCTGAGCTGAAGGCAGACGCTTAACGACTGAGCCACCCAGGTGCCCCTAAAATAGGTATTTAAGAAAAAACAATGAGAACATTTAGAGTCAAATCCAATGGCCAATTTGGAACCACTGTCACACCTGGTAATTAATTTTTAAGATTTAATGTCTGTCTGCTTCCCCCACCCCTAACTCCAAGGGAAAGGAGCACTGGATCCTGGAGCTATTATAGGACTTGGTGCATAGTAAACTCTCAATTAGTGGCTAATGGAGCATGAACTATGAAGAGAGAGTGGTGTTGGATTGGGGGGGGTGTCCCAATGAGGACTGAGTGGGGGGAAATACCTGGGAGACCTGGATAGGCTTTCGGTAAGGCTGGGCTGAAGGTTGCTAAGGCGGGATCGAGGTTTTATTTGACAGAATTCCCCAGGAGGCAGGGATGGAGGTCTGGATGAAGAAGAAATGGAGGTCCCCAAAAGGTGGAAATGGGGGGTTAAGCAACAGCCATGGGTGAATGTCTGAGATGATGGGGGATTAAGACCGGGTTGAGATGGGAGGCACTTCAGGAGACAGGTGACTCCCAGTAGGTGTGATGGATGGGGCTCACTGTAGTTGGGGACAATAAGTGTATGGTAAGGAGTGAGAATCAGTGTTGCACAGCTAAGGCAGGGGTCTCGGGTTAGGTGAAAGTCCTTGTCACAGAGTTGGGTGGTCCGGGTTAGGCGGGGGATACTGTGTGCGGTGGAAATAAGTTCCATGTTGCATAACTGGGGGTCTCACGTGCAGAGGCGGGGGTGGCAGGCCCAGATAATATTAGGGGTCCAACACCCAATTGGGAGGTCCGCTGTGTGCGGCTGGGATGAGGCCAGTGTGCAGAACTGGGGATTCAAGTGAGACAGGGATGGGGGTCCACATGCCGGTAACTGGGTTATCCGGGGGAGCCACGGCTTTATTTCCCGGACGGGGGGGGCTCGGCGGCAGCTCCCGAGCGCCCCCTGGCGGCCCTGGCCCCGCGGCGGTTCCCACAATGCTCACGTAGCCCCGCATCGGCTCCCGAGACGGCGGCAGCTCCAAGATGGCGCAGACGATTTTCGAGGCCCTGGAGGGTGAGCGGCGGCGAGGCCTGGGGAGTCGGCTGTTCCGCGTTGCGCCCCCTCCCGCCGCGCCCTCGCAGCGCCGGGCTCAGGGCGCGCGGCGGCCGCGGGGCGGAGGGCGCCGGGGCCGGAACAGCCGCGGGGCGGGAGGGGCACGGGCGGGAACAGCCGCGGGAGACGAGGCCCGGCGAGGGGGTGGGCACCGGGACGGGAACAGCGGCGGAGATAAGGCTCAATGGCGGAGGGCGGGGGCATGGGGCCAGAACAGCCGCGGGAGCCGAGGGTCGGCTGAAGCGGGACAACGGGACAGGAACAGCGAGGAGAGAAAGCCCGGGGTGGGGGGCGGGGGAGCACTGGGGCAGAACAGCCAGGGAGGCATGGCCGGGGCGGAGGCGGGGGAAGGCCTTGGACAGGAACAGCGTCAACCGCGAGGGCCTCGGGCCGGCGCGGGAGGGCTTTCTGGAGGGAACAGCCGGGGAGGCCGCCGCGTGGAAGCCGGGACCCCGCCAGGGCTGCGCTGAGGGGGACGGTGGTGCGGGGGCGGGAGAGGCTTGGCGGCTGAAGCAGCCTAACCACGAAGAACTTGTATCGAGCGTCAGCTGAGCCTCATGCCTTGAGGTAGTCTCTCAAAATAGATCAGGAAAGGATAGGTGCTACCTGTGTGCAAGGCCAGGACTCGGTGCTCACAGACCCAAACCAACAAACACTAGGCGCCTATTTTGTGTACCGTGCTGGGGTGCAGAGTTTTATGCACTCAGACCAAGAAACGATGGGTGTCAACGGTGTGCTTGGCTGGGACACAGTACGCTCAGACGGAAACCTATAAACACTGGGCGCCAACTGATTGTCCTGTGCTTTGGAGGTTCCTAGCATGGAAGTGGACCACAGGCGCAGGGAATCTGGGCTTTGGAGACAACAGACACTGAAGGCCTCCCTCTGCACCTGCGGGACATGGGTGGGGAGGAGTCCGTGACTTTAGGACCGTGGCACAGGGTAGATGTAGGCGGATACAGACCCGAGATGCTCTTAGAGGGGTGTGATAAGATCAATGTACACATAATTAGGGTGAAGACTGAAAGTTGGCCAGGCTAGTAGTATGTAGCTGAGACTTAGTCCTGTAGGACATCTCAGCCATGTCCCTTCACTTCTTAGAGGATCAGAGTTCTCACAATAAAATGGGGGTAAACCCTACAGCCATCTGGAGAATTTCAATCTCAGGACTACTCACTGAGCCAGACACAATTCCTGCCCCACAGTCGGGGCAGGGGGCATGTGAGGGGAGGGAAGCATACAGAAATTATAGAACAAGCAACTATTGAAATTACAGAATTATAGAAAGTAAACCATAAAAGATTACCTTAGCTGGCATTTGGTGCTATTATGGGTGATGGACGTGGGGGACCAGGGTCAGTGTGGTTCCCTTCGGGAGACCAATAGAATAGGGTGAGGCCTACTTTCTCTTTAGGTTCTATGGACGTCCTCCATGTTTGAATTTTTACTATAAGAATGTGTTCATGTATTGAGGGATGAAGAAATTAAAAGAAAAATCAGTTCCTAGGACAGTGTGATGCATGCTGGGCTAGAACAAGGACAGCAGAACTGTGGGGACCCAGAGATGACCCAGGCAGTAGGAACTGCATTTACAAAGCCCTGGGGGAAGAGAGGTCTTCGAGGATTCACAGAAGTTCATGTGAGTGAGGAGCTAGAGATGAGACTTGTGAACTTTATCTTGGAATCACTGTGGAGCTGAGAAAGGGTTTTCAGCAGGGGAGCAGCACAATCTGATGTATGTTTTATAAAGTTCACTCAGGCTGCTCTGAGGACACACTGGAGGGGGCCGGAGTGGCAGCAGGGAGGTGAGTGAAGTAGCTGCAGTTGTCCTGCTGAGAACTGATGGTGGCCTGAGCCAGGGGGACACCTGCGGGATGGAAGAAAGTGGATCTGAGAGAGGCAGTGGAGGCAGAATAGGCTAGACTTGCTGAAGGACTAGAAGTGAGGAGGGGGCAGGGAAACAGGTTGGGGAAAGAATAAAGGGGTGCCCCAGGGGCTGTGGCTGGGTGGACATTAGTGCTTATTCTTGTTGATGAGGATTACTGAAAGAGGTTAAACTGAGGGTTGAGGGTGACACACTTAGCTTGATCTCAATTTTAGACAGGCAGCATTTTTAAAAAGACTATTTTTTACTTTTAGCAGCTTTAGGTTCACAACAAAGTTGAAAGGAAGGTACAGAGATTTCCTGAATAGCCTCTGACCTCACACATGATTAGCCTCCCCCATTATCAACATAATTCGCCAGAATGGTACATTTGCTACCAAGGATGAATCTACATTGACAAATCATAGTCATCCAAAGTCAATGGTTTTTCTTAATGTTCACTCTGGGTGTTGCACATTCTATTGGACAAATGTACAATGACATATATCCATCATTACAATATCATCACAGAGTATTTTCACTGCTCTAAAAATCCTCTGTGTTCTGTCTGTTCAGCTCTCTCCCAAAACCCCCGGGAATCACTGATCTTCTGATTGTCTCTATAGTTTTGACAGACAGTATTTTTTTAATCAAAATTTAAAAAAAAATTTAAGATTTTATTTATTTGACACAGAGAGAGCGAGCGAGAGAGCGTGCACAAGTAGGGGGAGTGACAGGCAGAGGAAGAGGGAGAAGCAGGCTCCCCGCTAAACAGAGAGCCCGACATGGGGCTCAATCCCAGGACCCCTGGGATCATGACCTGAGCCGAAGGCAGACACTTAACCACCTGAGCCACCCAGGCACCCCTTGAATCAAATTTTTTATTTTGAGATCATTGTGTTTTTTTCTGTATATTCATATATGCCCTTTACCTAGTTTCCCTCAATGTAACATTGTGCAAGACTATTTTATACCACAACATACAGAACAGTTCCATCGCTATAAAAGGCTGCATTTTGGTAGCCATACCCACCTCCTTCCCCTCTCCCTGTCATCCCTGATGTCTGTCAACCACTAATCTGTTCTCTGGTTCTAAAATTTTGTCATTTCAAGAATGTCATGTAAATGGAATCGTATAGTTTATGACTTTTGAAATTGGCTTTTTTCCACTTATCATAATTCCCTGGGGTTTCACCCAAGTTATTGTGCATATCAGTAGTTCGTTCCTTTTTATTACTGAGTTGTAGTCCATGGTATGGATGTATCACAGTTTAACTATTCACCCATTGAAGAACATCTGAGTTGTTTCCAGTTTTTTACTATTATGAATAAAACTGCTGTGAATACTCATGTACAGATTTGCATACAAATGCTAATCTACTCACAGTTTTGCCTAAAATAGGAGAAGATTTACTGAAGCTCATCCAGGGGAGCAAACCCCAGGTTTGGGACTCTAGATTTTGGGGAGAACTAGACGGGAGGTGAATGAGTCTGCCCAGGGAGAAGAGAGAGAATCCAGACTGAAGGAACCTTTCAAAACAAACATTTAGGGGATGGACAGAAGAGAGCAGAGCAGTCTGTGAAGGAGTGAGCAGAGAGGTGGGAGAAGACCCAGGAGGGAGGTATCCTAGAGTCAGAGAAGGAATGTCTCAGGAAGGAATGTCCGATGCTGCCAGGCATTCTTTGGTGATTTTGGTGGAATGCTGGGGGCTTAAGCCCCATGAGGTGAGTAGAGGATGATTGGGAGATCATAGAGGAGATAGAAGGATGATTCATGTTGAAGGGAGAAGAGATAGGAACACGGGTTTAAGAGCGGGCATTCTAAAGAGACCTGAGCATGTGTAGCTGTTGATGGGAAGGAGAGGTTGCAGGCATACTGTGAAGAAAGGGACCAGTTGGTGGAGAGTGGTTTCTGAGGGAGCAGGAGGGGTTGGAGGGAAGAGCTGGCCTCAGGAGAGACACAGTATGCATTGTGAGAAGAGAAAATACAAATTCACTTCGGCTGCAGCAACTAATGGTTCTAATTTCCGTTGCCTTTAGAAGCTGGAGCAGGTGTCCAGGTAAAAGCTGAGAGGTTGGAAGCAGAGCATTGGCTGTGGGGACAGAGAGAAGGAGGCATCCTCTGGGTTTTTTGGGAGGGAGGCAGTGTGCTTTGGTGCCCACTTAGATGTGAGGAGACCTGTCCTCCAGCTGGTGACATGGCTAGACAGTGTACTACTGTGAACCTCAGCAGCAGTGACAACTGATTGGAAAACACGGAAGTACTCAGCCTCTCACGGGTGCCCTGACCGTAAATTCAGATTACACTGTTTACTGAGGAACTGAAAAGAGCAATACAACGTTGGAAAACAAGGGAAGCAAAGACGCCCAAGTGCAAACAGATTTGTGGGATTTGTAGGGTAGGATGGGAAGACTCGGTAACATGATTTGTGGAGGGGCTTATGATTTAGGACCATACTGTTCCCTGAGGAAGAGAGAAGTCCAGTCTAGCAGTGGTTTAAACAGGGTAGAGGTTTATTTCTCTCTCTCTCTCTTTTTTAAAGATTTTATTTATTTATCTGACAGAGAGAGAGAGAGCATTTAAGTAGGCAGAGTAGGAGGCAGAGGGAGAGGGAGAAGCAGGCTCCCCACTGAGCAGGGAGCTGGACGTGGGGCTCAATCCCAGGACTCTGGGATCATGACCTGAGCCGAAGGCAGCCGCTTAACCAACTGAGCCACCCAGGTGCCCCTAGAAGTTTATTTCTCTATGGGAAATTTCTGTATGGGAGTCCAGAGGAAGACGGTCCAGAGCTCCAAGGATGGCTGTGTTCTACAAGGTTCTCAGAGGCCCAGGATCTTTCCAGCTTTTGCCCTGCAATTCCTAGGGTATGGCCCTTTTCCTTATGATATGGGATGGTGGCTAGACTTCCCCAGTATCATATTCTTGTTGTAGGAAGCAGGATGGAGGATGGAGCAAAAAAGGGCATCACATACCAGGCAGTTTTAAGATAACTTCCCAGATACCACCATAGAACACCTTTCCTTAAATCCCATTGTCCAGAATTTAGACATTCCTTAGTTGCAAGAGCAGCTGGGAAATGTAATCTTTATTGTGGGGGGCCACATTTTCAGTCAAAAATCTTGGATTCTATTGCAATGGAAGTAGGAGAGAATGTATATTGGGGCACAGCCAGCTGTCTTTGCCACAGAGGGCTTGTGTTGGGTCTGGCTCGTAAGGGGGAAGTCAGAGACTCCATTTCTTTTTTCAGGAATGGACAATCAGACCGTCCTGGCGGTCCAGTCATTGTTGGATGGCCAAGGAGCAGTCCCTGATCCAACAGGCCAGAGTGTCAGTGCACCTCCTGCTATCCAGCCACTGGGTGAGTATCTGCTCAGGTTCACAGTTCACTGGTGGGAAGGGCGGGTAGCTCCCTGTGAAAAACAGGTGGGGCTCATGAAGGGGTATAGGAGTGAATTGCCTACTGGGGTGCCCAGGATACCATCTGGTGTCTGAACCTTCTTCTCCCCTTCCTCCCAGCCTGGGTTTTCAGGCTCATGTTTTTCTCTGCTTAGCAACGAGGACACACTTTCTCAGTCACTTAGTGAATGTGAGGATCATGACATAGGGAATGGCTAAGAGCTTAGTAATGCTTGTACCTTTGACCCAAAAGTTATTTCTCAGCCTCCCCTCTATGGAAAGAACAGGCTGAACATGAATCTCCAATTTCCAGGCCAGTCCCCTGAGACACAGAGAAGGCAAGGAACTTTAGAGCCCTGTGTGAGTCTGTGTATTCATTTATTCATTCCACAAACATTTTTGAATACTTGGGAACCATTCTGGGCACAGAGAGATACCCACCTGGGTTTGAATCCTTGTTCCCGTAGTTAGTTACTGGCTGTATGACCTCAGGCAAGTAAGTTAACTTCTCTGTGCCTCAGTTTCTACATCTGTAAAACAAGGATAATAGTCTTACCTCGTAGAAACCTTTTGAGGATACTTGGGACTCACTTTCAGTTGTTTTGTAAATAAGGAACGCAAGTTTCTTGTGGTTTGTACAGATGAATGCTTATTTCTCTCTCTCTTTTTTTTAATTTAAATTTATTTATTTATTTATTTTAAAGATTTTATTTATTTATTCATAAGAGACAGAGAGAGAGAGAGGGAGGCAGAGGGAGAAGCAGGCTCCCCAAGGGGCAGGGAGCCCGATGCGGGACTTGATCCCAGGACCCTGGGATCGTGACCTGAGCTGAAGGCAGACACTTAACCATCTGAGCCACCCAGGCGCCCCTGCTTATTTCTCTCTTACATGAAGTCCTGATGTGCATTTGGGGGTGGGTATGGTGAGACTCAGACCCTGTCTTTCTTATGGTTCTATTGCCCTCTACCTACAGTCCAGGTTGGCTGCTCCAGCTTTCCACTTTCATTTCCACATTCTAGCCAACACGAAGGGAAGAAAGAACAAAGTGGAAGTCATACGCCTTCCTGTTTTGTTTTTTTTTTTAAGATTTTATTTATTTACTTGAGAGAGCGAGAGAGCAAGCGAGCACGAGTCGGGTGAGGGGCAGAGGGAGAAGCAGACTCCCTGCTGAGCAGGGAGCCTGATGTGGGACTCCATCCCAGGACCCCGGGATCATGACCCACGCCGAAGGCAGAGGCTTAACCAACTGAGCCACCCAGGTGTCCCTATATGCCTTCCCTTTTATTTTTTTGATGTAATTTTCTTTATTAATAGAGTAAAAAAGAACAACACGTATCATTCACAAATAGGTGTAGTTAAAGCGCTTGACAAATTCAACACCCATTTGTGATAAAAATCATTCAGTCAGCTAGCACTAGAAGGGGGAGATTTTCTCAATTGAATAAGGGGCATCTACACAAAATGTACAACTTACATTGTACTTAATGGGGAAACGTTATGTCTTCCTTTTAAAAGGAAGTTGCATAGACACTATACTTTTGCTCTCGTCCTGTTGGTCAGAATTCAGTCTCATGACATGTCTAGTTGCAAAGAAGGCTGGGAGATAAAGTCTTTAGTTAGACGGTCATGTTTCCCACTATTTCTATCTAAGAAGGGAGAGTGGATGTTGAATGACAAATAGACATTTCTGCCACAACGTGTCAAGTGCTTGGCACCCCTCAGTGGGTGGTGTCCACTATGGCTAATCATTCATTGAGTTTTTCACTCATTCACTAAATACCCATCGAGGGCCTCCTATGTTACCCAGGAGATACTGCAGGTATGGTAATAAGTAAGACTCATTTCCTCCCTTTCGGAGGACTCATGGTTTGCTGGTGCTGGGAAGAGTGTGAGATTAGCAATGCACCCAGCTGGAGGAACTGTGGCGTCTAGCTTTAGGAAGGCTTCCTGAAGGAGGTGACATCTGAGCAGAGTCTTGCAGAGTAAGTTGTTCTGAGAGAAGCAGCTTGCAGGGGGAACGGGGATGCAGAGACGTAGAAGGTCATGTAGCCCATTTGGGGACTGATGAACAAATTCAGGCAGGATAAAGATTCTGAATTTCTCAGCTTTGAAGCGTACCCACTCCACTATTTCCTGAGTTCTAATTTTTCTTTTCTTTTTTTTAAAGATTTTATTTATTTGACAGAGAGAGAGACAGCTAGAGAGGGAACACAAGTAGGGGGAATGGGAGAGGGAGAAGCAGGCTCCTTGCCGAGCAAGGAACCTGATGTGGGGCTCGATCCCAGAACCCTGGGATCATGACCTGAGCCGAAGGCAGACGCTTAACGACTGAGCCACCCAGGCGCCCCTGAGTTCTAATTTTTCGATACCTGGGTAGACATGGCTGGATATTCCTGCAGTTGCCTATGTGGTTTTGAAATCTCCTTTTGGAAGCACAGAGTTGGCACTTGACACAAACACGCTGAGTCACAGATTGCTGTTAGGTTTTCCCCTGTTTCTCACTGTGATGCCCTCTCATTTATCTTGCTTTTTATCAATGTTCCTGTCCTTCTGCTACCGTGTGGGTGTGACCCCTAGATGATGAGGATGTTTTTCTCTGCGGGAAGTGTAAGAAGCAGTTCAACTCACTGCCGGCATTTATGACCCACAAGCGGGAACAGTGCCATGGGAATGCCCCGCCCCTGGCCACCGCCTCATTGGCCACTAACAGCATCTACACGCCTTCGGCAGCCCCCACAGCGGTCCAGCAGGCCCCACCTCCTACTAATCGCCAGGTATTCATTCGTTCATTTGTGTGTTCGTTCATTCATTCATTCAAGTCTTTTTTTTTTTTTAGAGAAAATTTTTTTTTATTTATTTGAGAGAGAGAGAATGAGAGAGAGCACATGAGAAGGGGGAGGGTCAGAGGGAGAAGCAGACTCCCTGCTGAGCAGGGAGCCTGATGCGGGACTCGATCCTGGGACTCCAGGATCATGACCTGAGCCGAAGGCAGTCGCTTAACCAACTGAGCCACGCAGGCGCCCCTATTCAAGTCTTTTTTGAGCATGCACTATGTGTCAGGCACTGTGTGGGCACTGTGATGGACAAATATTCCACATCACTGCCCTCATGGCGGGTGAGATAGTACCCAAACATCTATGTAGAGATATACTTTTTTCAGGGGATGTTAAGTGCAGAGAGATGGGGATGCCAAGACAGGGATGGGAGGTTTTGTCATTTTGTATATGGTGCTTGGGGAAGAGCTCTGTGAAGAGGTGACATAGGAACGGAGGCCTACGGTGATGAGGGAATGAGTCATGCTGCTAGTGTAGGGAAGAGTATTTTAGGAGAAGAGATCAGCAAGTACAAAGGCCCTGGTGTGGGTGTGTGCTGGGTTTATTCCAGGACCAGAAAGGAGGTGAGCGTGGCTGGAGCTGAGTGAGTGAGGAGGAGGGTGGGAGATGATAAGTTCAGACAGGCAACAGGGGGATCCTGGCGAGCATGTGCGCCTTGTGGGCTTTTTGTCTGAGTCAGATGGGAACCTTAGGAAGGTTTTGAACAGAAGAGGGACATAGTCTGATTTACACTTAAACTAGATTACTCTGGCTGCTGTACAGAGAATACATTTTGGTGGGAGTCAAGAGAGAAACCCAGGAGGCTTTAGGGGGCTGTTGTACCAATCCAGGCAATAGGTGGTGGAGGCTTGGTCGGATGGTGGCAGTGGAGGTGGAGAGAAGAGATGAGATTTTGGAAATGTTTTGAAGGTGGAGCCAAAAGAGCTTGTGGATAGGCTGGATGTGAGGTGTGAGATCAGGAGGAGTCAAAGGGGATCCACTGCAGAGGTGGAGTTGCCATTTACTGAAGTGGGGAAACAGCAAGAAGAAGATCTGGGGGGATGTCAGGAGTTCAACTGGTCATGCTGGATTTGAGATATCCATTGGACCTTTAAGTGGAGGTGGTGAAGATGCAGACAATCTACAAGTCTGGAGGTCAGGGGAGAGCAGAGACACCCTGGGTCAGGGGCTCTTAGAGGGATTAAAGAATCCTCATAAAGGAGGCTGGACATGTCTCAGGATGCCAGGTCAAGGGGTCAGATTTCCTTCTGGCTTCCTCTTGTCTCCTTATTCCTTTAAAACGTTATCTCCATGCACTGTATAGACATAATTCCTGCCATCAGAATAAAAGCATTCACCCCCAGACCCATAGGACTTGTACGCTGATACTTCTCAGGCTGCCACAGACCTCTCCTAATACAGAGCATGGTGATTCCCACAGGAATTCTATAGTGCTATTGTTTTAGAATTTTTGAAGTAAGAATATATAATCTGCATGTTATTACATAATTTGATTTTTCATGCAATACCTTTTATCTGTTGTGTAGTATTCTATGCTATGACTGTATTGTATTGTTTTACTCCATTTCCCCTTTGATGGACACTGAGGTTCTTTCCAGTTATACACTATTTGAAATAAAGCTATATAGAATACTCTTGTTCATGGACTCCCTGTGGACATGTGTGAGTGTTTCTGTAGGAGAGATACCAGAAAGTATTATTGCTGGGTCATGGGGTATTTCTCTTACAGAGAGTTATGATTTATTCTCATTTCATAGATAAGGAAATGGAAGTTCTGAAAGGTGGAGTGACTTGCCCAGGGTCACACAGCAGGGAGAAGTAGAGGTGGAAATGAAACACAGGTCTGTGGGGTTCCAGAGCCCGAGTCTTTTGCATCATGCCCTGTTTCCTTCCAGAGCCTCAGACATATCTCTTCTCTTCTCTTCCCTTCCCTTCCATTCTCTTCTCTCTCTCTCATTCACACTACCCAGATCTCCACGTACATTACAGTGCCCCCATCCCCGCTGATCCAGACCCTGGTGCAGGGGAACATCTTGGTGAGTGATGATGTGCTCATGTCTGCCATGTCGGCCTTCACATCCCTGGACCAGCCCATGCCCCAGGGCCCCCCACCTGTGCAGGTAAGGAGGGGGCCGGCTTCTCATAGGATCTTAATTCCAGACCTGTATATTGACTGCCATGGATTTGGAACCTTGTAGAAAGAAGAGTGGATGGCCTCAGCTCTCATGCTGAAGAGAGACTGTCAGTCTCCCCTTGGCCTGCCCTGCTGTGGGTAGGGAAGGGGTCACTTCATTTGGGACCTAGAACATGACTTTGGGGTTTCACGGCCATAGTCTGGCTATTTTGACTCCTATTTTTATTCTTTTTTTTTTTTTATAAGATTTATTTATTTGAGAGCGTGAGCGAGCCCAGGTATGCATGCGGGGGACGGGGGCGGGGGGCAGGAGGGGCAGAGGGAGAGGGAGAGAGAGAATCTCAAGCAGACTCCCTGCTGAGCACAGAGCTCAATGTGAGGGTCAATCCCATGACCTGAGATCATGACCTGAGCTGAAATCAGGAGTCGGATGCCTTACCACCTGAGCCACCCAGACACCCCCTCCTAACTTCTTAACAAAAGTGTTCCATGTCCATTGGAAAACATTAGAAAATACAAAATGGAAAAGTAAAAATAAAGTTTAATTATTCATAATCTGGAAACTAGAGAGACATGGCAACTGACTACAATGTGCGATTCTTTTTTTTTTGGTTTTTCTTTTTCTCCTGTATTTCCCACTCCTCTTCACCCATTTTGCCCACCCTTCCCCGGCAATATGCAATTCTTGGTTGGATCCTGGATTGGGGGGGGCGTGGAGAGTCTAAAGGCATTATTGGGACACTTTGGGGAAATGAGAATAGGAAGCATTTGAATATTTTAGATAATAGTATTATATTAACATGTAGTTTCCTGAGTGTGATTGTCAAATTGCAGTTATATAGGAGAATATCCCCTTCTTAGGAGATGCATCTGAATACAGTATTTAGGAAAAGAGTGTTATGATGTCTGCAGCTGACTATCAAATGGCTTGCTAAAACACAAATATAACCTTGAATGTATGTACATATATACACACACACATATGTACATTGCAGATGTGGCAAAATGTTAACAACTGGTAAATTAGATGAAGTTTAAAGACTGATCAGTATGTTCTTTTTTTTTTTTTTTTAAGTAATCTCTATGCCCGCGTGGGGCTTGAATTCACGACCCTGAGATCAAGAGTCACATGCTCTATTCACTGAGCCAGCCATGGGCCCCTGATCACTGTATTCTCTTTGCAACCTTCCTATAGGTTTGAGATTTTTCAGAATAAAAGTTGGGGCACACCTGGCTGGCTCAGTTGGTAGAGCATGTGACTCTTGATCTTGGGGCTGTGAGTTTGAGCCCCACATTGGGTATAGAGATTACTTAAAAATAAAATCTTTTTTTTTTTTTTAAAGATTTTATTTATTTATCTGAGACAGAGAGAATGAGAGAGACAGAGAGCACAGGAGAGGGGGGAGGGTCAGAGGGAGAAGCAGGCTCCCTGCCGAGCAGGGAGCCCGATGCGGGACTCAATCCAGGGACTCCAGGATCATGACCTGAGCCGAAGGCAGTCGCTTAACTAACTGAGCCACCCAGGCGCCCAAAAATAAAATCTTTAAAAAAAATTTTAAAAAAAGAATAAAAGTTGGGAAGTCAATCAGTTAATCAACCACCCCTACTCTCTCCCTCCAAAGAAAACACTATTAGAATTTTGGTGTCTGGCTTTCCTGATCTTTAAATGCAAATAAAGAAACACCTTTTTATTTTATTTTTTTAAAGATTTTATTTATTTGTCAGAGAGAGAGCACAAGCAGGGAGAGCAGCAGATAGAGGGAGAAGCAGGCTCCCCGCTGAGCAAGGAGCCCCATGTGGGACTCGATCCAGGACCCTGGGATCATGACCTGAGCCAAAGGCAAATGCTTACCTGACTGACCCACCCAGGCGTCCTGAGAAACAGCTTTTTATATAAATACATTTATAAAACACATATCTATATCAATGGACCATGTTAATATGCACTGTTCTGAAACTTGCTTTTTTTTATTTTGCCTTTTGCTTAAAATCATTATCTATGCCTATAATTCTATATCAGTATTTTCTAAAATGTTCCTCAGAAGAGTGGCTCCTTGGGATGTTCCATACAAAAAGAATCTCTGGTCAAACCAGTATAGGGTGGAGGCATTCTACTTCTTTCCTTGCCCTGTCCCTGGCTTTTTTTTCCTGCAGTAAAACACTTTTGATTTTTGTCACCCCAGATTTTTCCCCAAACACGTTTGACTGTGGAACCCAAGGAGCGGCAATTAAGAGGTGCATCCTTTAGGGCGCCTGGGTGGCTCAGTTGGTTAAGCGACTGCCTTCGGCTCAGGTCATGATCCCGGAGTCCCTGGATCGAGTCCCGCATCGGGCTCCCTGCTCGGCAGGGAGTCTGCTTCTCCCTCTGACCCTCCCGACCCTCACCCATCTCCTGCTCTCTCTCTCTCAGTCTCTCTCTCAAATAAATAAATAAAATCTTAAAAAAAAAAAAAGAGGTGCATCCTTTATAAAATACTGATCACCATCATTTTTTTTTTAATTTTTAAAAAAATTTTTTATTTATTCATTTGAGACACAGAGATAGAGAGAGAACATGAACAGGGAGAGAGGCAGAGGGAGAGGGAGAAGCAGGCTCCCCGCTGAGCTAGGAGCCCGATGTGGGGCTTGATCCCAGGACCCTGGGATCATGACCTGAGCCGAAGGCAGACGCTTAACCATCTGAGCCACCCAGGCGCCCCACCATCATTTTTTTTTTAAGTAAGCTTTTTGCCCAACGTGGGCCTTGAACTCTACCCAGAGATCAGGAGTTGCATGCTCTACCAGCTGAGCCACCCAGGCACCCCTGATCACTATCATTTTAATAGCTGTTAAAGATTCCATCGTGTGGATGGGACATCTTCTATATAGTCAGCTTTCTGTTAACAGACATGTAGGTCATTGCCATTTTTTGCTGCTATAAAAACTACTGGAGAACCATCCATGTATGCATATCTTTGCCCACCTGCTTAATTATATTTCTATGGTATAAATTTCTAGAAGTCAGTGGCTGTGTTTCAGGGGTCCACAGCCCCCACAATTCGGTGACTCTCTAGAAATACTCCTAGGACTTGGGATAGTTGTACTCATGGCTGTGGTTTCTTCCTGACAAAGGATGCACAGCAGGATCAGCAAGGGAAAAAGACATTAGCTGGAGTCTAGAGAAATTCAGGCATCGGTTTCTACTGTTCCTCCTCTTGGGGTAATGGGGAGAGATCACACAAAACACTTTTTCCTCCAGCAATGAAGAGCAGCAACGCATGTGCGTGTTTCTGCCCAGGAAGCATACCTAAGATTCGAGGCTCAGGGCTTTTCCTGGGGATTGCTCATGTAGGTGCCACAGTGACCAAAATTCCAGACTCTTAGAAGGAAAGGAGGTGTTCACCACAGATCACACTGTCTGTACAATCTAGGTGACCTAGTACAGAATGGGCAGTGCCCCCAGATGATCAAAACAGCCTTATTGATCATAGGCAACCTTCCACAAGGTAGGTTCTCAGAGGCCATTCAAGAGCCAGTCCCACAAGCAACCCTCCTAAGACAACAACAGTGGGGCTGCTAGATCAACTCAGTTGTGTCCAAGCTGGGCCTTTTTGTCGACTTTCCTAGAGAACAGGGGTAGTGGCACCTGGCTGATGCTTCCTCTGTATTCTTCCATGCCTCTGTTGCCATGCCTCCCGTCAGCCCTGTCCTCTGAGCTGCCTTGTGAGGGGCTTTTCTTTCCACATGGCTGGCTAAGACAAATGTCCTTCCTCGCTAATAACAAGACAGCTGGTGTCAAGAGGGTGTGACACTTTATTTATTTTATTTTTTTAAATTTTATTTATTTATTTGAGACAGAGAGAATGAGAGACAGAGAGCATGAGAGGGAGGAGGGTCAGAGGGAGAAGCAGACTCCCTGCTGAGCAGGGAGCCTGATGCGGGACTCGATCTTGTGACTCCAGGATCATGACCTGAGCCGAAGGCAGTCGCTTAACCAACTGAGCCACCCAGGCGCCCCGAGGGTGTGACACTTTAATTCTCTCTTCTGATTTCAGAGCAGCCTGAACATGCATTCTGCACCCAGCTACCTCACCCAGCCTCCACCACCTCCTCCCCCACCTCCACCACTGCCCCCACCCCCGCCGCCCCAGCCCCCACCGCCCCCATCCCAGAGCCTGGGCCCCCCTGGGCGTCCCAACCCTGGCGGAAATGGCGTGGTGGAGGTGTACAGTGCCACGGCGCCCCTGGCTGGGAGCGGCACGGTGGAGATCCAGGCATTGGGAATGCAGCCCTACCCACCCCTGGAGGTGAGCAGAGGTTGGGGTTTGGGCTGGAGGGGGAGAAACTGGTTATGGTTATCATGGGTAACCTGAACCTTTCCCAGGCACCAACTGTGTGTCAGACACTGTGCCAGAGGTAGCATGGGAGACAAACCCAGATCAGGGGGGTAGCCACACCCTGGGAGAGAAGGACTTTAATCAAGCCATCATACCTATAAAGGTAAAATGCAAACCATGAGAAGGTGGTACGAAGTAGAAGTTATAGCAGAAATACAAGCTACCCTCAGGGAGTGCTCAGAACATTCAGAGAACACCAATGTTGTAGGGAGAAGTTTCCAAAAAATTATCTATGTGAATGTCTCTTATATTTTAAAAAATTTTATTTACTTATTTTTTTAGAGAGAGAAAGGGGGAGAGAGCAGGGTGGAGGGGCAGAGGGAGAGAGAGAGAGGATCTCAAGCAGACTCTGTGCTCTGAAGCTTGATCCCACGACCCTGAGATCATGACCCAAACCAAAATCAACAGTCGGATGCCCAACCGACTGAGCCACCCAGGAGCCCCAATCTCTTACATTTTTAACAGGCTAGATGTATGGGTTAGCTATGGCTGTGTAAGAAATATTCCAGAACCTCAGTGGTATATGGCAAAATGTGTTTATTGTTCTCGCATCTACATGGCTTGCTTGGCAACTCTGCTGATCTTGGCTGGGCTCTCCCAGGTGTCTGGAGATGGCAACTATCAGCTGCTATAGGATGGCCTGGGTGGGACGAGTTGGGTGACCCAGCTCTGCTCCGGCCATCTCTCATCGTCCGGCGGGCTCGCCAGCCATGTGCTCACAGCAGTGCTAGAGGTGCAGTCACGCAAGCAGAAATGCTCCTGGCCTCGTGGAGCTTAGGCTTGTGACCGGCTCTCTTCCGTTGGTCAAAGTATGTCCCAAGGCCAGCTTAGATTTAAGGAGTCGGGAAACCGATGCCACATCTTGATGGGGAAATCTGCAGAACCACGCTGCGAATGGGCACAGGTACTGGGAGGGGGTAGAGAATCGAAGCCACGAAGCAGTCTGTGTACCCTATGTGCCACACTCATTCCCTGCTACAAGCTCAAGGTGCTCAGAGTTCAGAACTTGCCCCAACCCCAGTGCTAGGGGGCACGGTTCTGACAGCAAGAGCCTGCCTGCACTTGAGGTCACATTAACCCCCCCTCACCTTACAATCTGGCCATACAGACATTCCATGTTTAGAGAGCATGGTTCTCTCTAAAGAGAACCAGACCAGTGGGGAAATCTACCACCAGCCATGTGATGTTATGAGAGCCTGCAGGGGATTTATCCTAGCCCGAGGGAATAGAGCAAGCTTCCCTGTGTTGAGTTAAAAAAAAGCAAATAAGTCAGTGAGATGCTGAGAGGATGATTGTGGCCTGGTAGGCAGAGGGGGCCAGAGCAGAGGGAGCTGCTGTTGTTTATTTTCCATGTGGACGAGGGTGCTCTTTGAGGGCAGAACCTGAGTCTTCTTTGATTTGGCATCCTTAGCCCCTAGCAGAGTCCCTGGCCTGTGGCACACCTATAGTAGGTGTCTGAAATAGGGCTCTCTGACCTCAGTCTCCTCTCCTCTGCAATGGGAACTCCCCTTGTAGCGCTGTTGAGGATAAAGAGAGCAAACCCAGTGGCAGTCACGTAATTACTCAGGAATGTCTTGCATGATGGGTGAATTCATCCATGTGATACATATTTATTGAGTGCTGTATTGGTCAGGAAAATAGGGACCACTCTAGGTATTTCTGGCAAAGGGATTTAATGCAGGAGGTCAGGTGCTTACAAAGGTGGCTTCGGGAGAGCTAGATGGAGAAAAAGGCAGAGTTGGCAGGTGCCAGTGGTTTTCAGGTTCACTGTTGTTGCTTGGCCCAGAGGGCTAGGACGCTCCTGCTGTGCCCAGAGGTGGGGAAGCTGTAGGATTCTGTTGCTGTGCTGTCATCCTCGAGGCTGGTGGTCAGGAGGGGGATGTAGAGTTCAGCCAGCCACTCCAAAATTTAGGACTGCACACCTTCCTGTCTCCCGTCACCTCTCCCAGAGGAAAGCAGTTTCTACCTTCCTCTGCCTTCCAGATCTCATGCAGGTGCTTCTCGTGAGCAGAACCTAATTTGTGCTCAGAACCTTGCTGGCAAGGGAGTCTGAGAATGTGTATATCAGGAGAGAGCATGGAAGGGTGTAGGAATGGCGCCAAAGGCCAACAGGCGAGATCTAGCAGAAGCATCTACCATTTCACGTGGTGCCATATTAGATGCCCAATACATGCATCCACTGATAGCAACTCTTCTGGTTCCTGGACCCAATTCTAATGTTGGGTGGGGTCCTGCCCCCCCACGCCAATGCCAAGCAATTCTCAGACACCAGCACAGTGTCCAAGAATTCCAACTCAATTCTGATGCTATCTACCCAGAGATAACAGCAGATCCCACAGGTTAAGGGTTCAGTCCTGCAAGATTGTCCTCACCCTTACTTTAGCCAGTTGCAAGCAACCTATGCTTCTGATGGACAGACCACAGGTAGGAGGTTCCAGCGACCTCCTCCTTAGGTTCTATTAATTTGCTAGAGTAGCTCATAGAACTCAGGGGAACATTTACATTTACCAGTTTATTAAAGGATATAATAAAGGATACAAATCAACAGCCCAGTGCAGAGATACATAGGGTGAGGAGTGGGGAAAAGGGCATGGAGCTTCTGTGTGCCACTCACCCCATATCTCCCTGTGTTAATCAACCTGGAAGCTGTCCAAACCCAGTCCTTTGGAGTTTTTATGGAGGCTTTATTACATAATCATGAGTAAGTCGTTGGCTGTGGCTGATTCAGCCTCCAGCCCTTCCTCGCTCCCCAGAGGTTGGGGGATGGGACTGAATGTTCCAACCCACCAGTCACATGGTTGGTCCTCTCTGCAACCAGCCTGCCCTTGGATCAGGGCCAAAAGTCACTTTCATTAATAATAAAACAAAAAAAAATAATAAGATACCCATTTCACTTTTACAGCTCTGAAGCATTTCTAGGAACTGTGGATGAAGACCAAATATATCTGACAAATATATTTTGGTCATCTGAATGAACAAGTATATATTTTTTATGTATCATTATATTATAATATATAAATGAATTCACTGGTTCAACAAATATTTACTGAATGCCCACTCTGTGCCTAGGATTACTCCAGGCTTGGGGATAGAGCAGTAAACAAAAACAGACCAAAAGTCGCTGCCTTCATGGAACTAGGCAGATAATAGATAAGTACGTAAAACACATAATTTATTAGATAATGGTAAGTCCACAAAGAAAAAAAAAAAGCAGAGAAGGATAGGAAGTGAAGTTTTGGATAGGCCAGCCTAGAAAAACCAACGAATGACGAGTATGTCATTGAATTAATGAATTCTTCACGATGCCCCAGTGTCATGATGTAAGCTTAGTGTTAGCTAGGTTTGAGTGGCTCAGAAATCGTTTGGTGTGAATGAATTTCTTGTGACTTCAGTGTCAGTTCTCAGTTTAGACATGCGTGCTGGTGTGGCATCAGGCAGGGCCAGTTAGGAAGTGGGGTTGCTGGTGAGGGCACAGACCCTTCTGATTTCCTGGTTCTTCTGTGCTAACAAACTACTACTCCCAATAAAGCAGTAACAGCAGCTAATGTTTATTGAGTATTTACTGTATGCCAGGCACCATTCTAGCTGTTTACATGTTAACTCATTTTTTGGTAAAGATTTTATTTATTTATTTGACAGAGAGAGTAATTTTTTTTTTTAAGATTTTATTTATTTATTTGAGAGAGAGAGAATGAGAGAGAGAGAACACCTGAGAGGGGGGAGGGTCAGAGGGAGAAGCAGACTCCCTGCCGAGCAGGGAGCCCGATGCGGGACTTGATCCAGGGACTCCAGGATCATGACCTGAGCCGAAGGCAGTCGCTTAACCAGCTGAGCCACCCAGGCGCCCCAGAGAGAGTCATTTAATCCTCACCACAACCCAAGGAGAGGAGTACTCTGATTATCCCCATTTTACAGATGTGAAACTGGGAAATGTTGAAAGAGTTGCCTAGGATCACTTAGACAATAAGTGGCAGAGTCAGGATTTGAACCCAGACTGCTGGCTTCAAAGCTGCTTCTAGCCTGCTGGCTCCATGAAGTTCTATAGGGTCTTGGGAGTGACTGGGGTGTCTGAGCCAGATGGAGGGGTTAGGATCGCGATCCTGGCTGAGATTAGCCGGGGCCACAGTGAGGGTCCCCCTGGCTGTATAGCTCTTTTCTGTCCTTCCCAGGCCTCTCTCCCTCACTGTGCTGTCCTTCTAGGTGCCAAACCAGTGTGTGGAGGCTCCAGTATACCCCACCCCTCCGGTGTACAGCCCTGGCAAACAGGGATTCAAACCGAAAGGACCAAACCCAGCTGCCCCCATGACCAGCGCCACGGGGGGCACAGTGGCCACCTTTGACTCCCCACCAACGCTGAAGACTTGCCGGGCAAAAGGGGCCAGTGGACTCCCAGAAGGTGGGCCCGCCGCCTGCCAGGGGCATCTTTCCTCAGCATTCTCCTGTCCATAAGGCTGCCTAGTTCTGGTCTTCCTTTTTATGATGGTCAGGATTAAGTGTAGTTGCATGTAGTGGAGTGACTTTAAAATGATCGAATTTTATTTTTCTCCTGTGCAAAACAAGGCCAGTGGCAGGCAATTTGGAAATTGTGTGCTTGTATGGTCATTTCTTCTGTCTTTCTGCTCTGCTACCCCTAGGGCATAGCTTCTGTTATCAGGGTGCCTTGTCATCTAAGATGGCTGCTGGAGTCCCAGTCATCAATTTCATATTCCAGGCAGTAAAAAGGATAAAAGGGGCATCTCCCAGCTTCCAGAAGTTCTGCATGATGCTTTTACTTCCATCTCATTGATCACAATTTAGTCACATGACCCTATCTAGCTGCAAAGGAAGCTGGGAAATGTCTCTTATTTTTTAAAAGATTTTATTTATTTGAGAGAGAGAATGAGAGAGAGAGAGCACATGAGAGGGGGGAGGGTCAGAGGGAGAAGCAGACTCCCTGCTTAGCAGGGAGCCCGATGCGGGACTAGATCCCGGGACTCGATCCTGGGACTCCAGGATCATGATGTGAGCCGAAGGCAATCGCTTAACCAACTGAGCCACCCAGGCGCCCCTGGGAAATGTCTCTTTTAGCCAGAAACATTGATGTTCCCATTATTTGGGGGATTTGTGAGGAAAGAAGGGGGGCAGTGGATATCAGGCAGGCAGGCAGTGGTGTCTGTCACCCCTTCAGAGATGCTAGGGATGGGACGGGGCAGTATTAGAAAGTGGTGGTGGAGGAGGAAGGCACAGAAATCAAGAATTTTTCAGGGGCTTTCCAGTCAACTACTTCCATCCCTCCTTCCTTCCACAGATATATGTTGAGCATCTGTGTGCCAGGCTCAGTGTCAGGTGCTGAGGATCCAGCATTGTGGTCCGTGATTTCTCCACCCTCTGTTGCAGTTAATGGGAGAGACAGACAGGGAAAACAGGCTAACTGTTTATGGGTTGCTCCAGGAAGGAGGTTAACAGGGTACTATGATTGAGAATACTGGGGAGAGACTGGAAAATGATGCTACCTCTCTATCTAGGGATGAGAAGGAGGCAGCTTTGTGGCTATCTGAGGGACGAGCAAGAATAGCAGGTCCTGAAATAGGACCACACTTGAGGTCTTTCAAGGTTAGCAAGGAGTCCACTGCAGCTGGATGGAGAGAATGATGAGGTTGGCAGGAAGCAGAGGATGCATAGCCCTGTAGGCCGCAGCAGAGAGGTTGGATTTTTATCCGAGGGCAGAGAGGAGCCTTTCAGAGGTGGTTCTGCTCTTCCAGGCAGAGCATTGCCCGGGTTTTCCTCCTCCAGGCGCTGTGAGAGGCTCTGTGCTGCTTCCCCTGCCTGTGTGCAGGTGTAGACTTCCCCTGGCTTTCTGGCCCCACATCCAACGGGTAGAGTGGTAGGAGGCTGTTCTTGTTGCCTTCAGTTACACCCCCAGCCTCACCATTCCCAACCCCCCGCCCCACCTTGTTTTTCAGCTGCAGGGAAGCCAAAGGCTCAGAAACTCAAGTGCTCATACTGTGACAAGTCATTCACCAAAAACTTCGACCTGCAGCAGCATATCCGAAGGTACCCAGGCGTGGTGGGGCCGGTGCTTCCTCGGCAGCCCTGGCTGGAGGGCCTTCCACAGTAGAAGCAAGGCTCTCTTCTCAGTCCCCTTGCCAGGGTGGTGACCAAGGCCCCATCCATCCTGTCATGGTTCTCAGACCTTCGGTCCAAGTCAGGTCGGTTTTCCCTCTTCTGTCTCAGGAGCAGGAGGAGGGATCTGTGAAAGTTGTGGGGCCTGCTCACTATGGTGGAGAAGGTCCGAGCCAGGCGGGGTCGGGGAAGAAATGTACTCGAACTGTAGGGCCTTTGCAGGAGTGAGGGGTGCCTCAGTCCTCACCTCTGCAGAAAGGTCTGACCTCGAGGGCTGCCATACCACGCTGTGGGAATATGACTACGAGTTCTGCTCACTCAGGACTAACCGTCCTGTCCTGTCCTGTCCCAAGGACATGCAGGGAGCCCCTCGGGGCCTCGGCTTTTCCATCTGCGAAGTGGGGGTGGGGGGTCTTTTTCCGTGTTTGTCACAGAAGGGGTTACATTGGTACCTGAGATGATTTTAGGTGGTTTGTGGTTATGGTGTCGAGAAGTTCTGAAAGATGTAGAAAATTACTCTCTTTTCAAATTCTTTCAGTCCTCGGCGAGTCAAAGGAGAAAACCTCGGTTTGGTGCTAGTGTGTGTTGAACACCTTTCACATACTTGCTCATCTTTTATAGCAAAGAGAGAGAGAAGGAGAGAGCACGTGGATGCATGCGTACGTGCACACCTCAGATTCCAATCATGACAGGCAACAGCTTCTCACTAGACCAGGGTTTCTCAACCTTGGAACTATTGACTTTTATTTTCTTATTTATTTATGTCTGTCTGTCTGTCTGTATGTATGTAAAGTAGGCTCCACACCCAGGGTGGAGCCTGGTGTGGGGCTTGAACTCAGGACCCTGAGATCAAGACCTGAACAGGCCTGTACCTCTGAAATCAATAATACATTATATGTTAATTAATTGAATTTAAATTTAAAAAATTTTTAAGTTAAATAAAAAAAAAAAATACCTCACAAGTCTACACTAGCGCTGCTCAATAGAACTTTCCGGATGGAAATGCCCAAATTGGCAGTGTCCAGTAGGGTAGCCACTGACCATATGCGGCTGCTGAACACTTGCAATGTGGCTCGTCTGACTAAGAAACTGAATTTTTTTTTTTATTAACATAATGTATTATTTGTTTCAGGGGTACAGGTCTGTGATTCATTAGTCTTACACAATTCACAGCACTCACCACAACACATACCCCCAGTGTCCATCACCTAGCCACCCCATCTCTCCCACGCCCAACCACTCCAGCAACCCTCAGTTTGTTTCCTGAGATTAAGAGTCTCCCTGTCGGGCGCCTGGGTGGCTCAGTTGGTTAAGCGACTGCCTTCGGCTCAGGTCATGATCCTGGAGTCCCGGGATCGAGTCCCGCATCGGGCTCCCTGCTCAGCTGGGGGTCTGCTTCTCCCTCTGACCCTCCTCCCTCTCATGCTCTCTGTCTCTCATTCTCTCTCTCGCAAAAAAAAAAAAAAAAAAAAGAGTCTCCCTGTCTGGTTTCGTCTGGTTTCATTTTTTCCTCTCTTCCCCTATGATCCTCTGCCTTGTTTCTCAAATTCCTTATATCAGTGAGATCATATGATACATGTCTTTCTCTGACTGACTTATTTCGCTTAGCATAATACCTTCTAGTTCCATCCACATCATTGCAAATGGCAGGAAACTGAATTTTTAATTTAATTTTAATGAATTTAAGTAGCCCCGTGTGTCTTGTGTCAACCTTATTGGATAATGCAGCTCTATAGATCTTAATGATATTTTATAAATTATTGCATTTTTGGTTACTTTGTATTTATGATAAGTGGTTTTCCATATAACAACAGGAAAGCTTAATTTTTAAATTATTTAAGAGCGGATTTATTTGAAGGGAAATATTAAATAATAGTACAAGTTCTGTGCTGCGACTGTGCCATTTCTCCTTCAGAGAATAAATCCCTGTTTGAGAGGGCTTAAACAATTAGGAAATGTTTTCTCTCACCGTATGGAGAAGGCCCGCAGGGAAGGTCAGCTCCGGGGCTGGTTGATTCAGCAACTCAGTAATGTCACCGAGAGCTCAGGGTCTTTCTGCCTCTGGCCTGCCGGCTTGTCCTCATGGTGTCACCATGATGGCCACCAGCATCCGCATGCTCTGTCTGGGCCTTCTTGGGTGTTGTGAGCTCCTGTGCTGAGGTCACGTCCCAGTTCCACATGAGGGTGCTGACAAGCTTTGTTTCCCATAGCCACACCGGTGAGAAGCCCTTCCAGTGCATTGCATGTGGCCGTGCCTTTGCCCAGAAATCTAATGTCAAGAAACACATGCAGACTCATAAGGTGTGGCCTCCGGGGCGTAGCGGTGGCACTGTCTCCCGCAACTCTGTGACTGTACAGGTCATGGCCCTCAACCCCAGCAGGCAGGAGGACGAGGAAAACACAGGTAGGTAGAAGTGGGGAATGCCATTGTTCCCATACCTGTCCTCTGAAGCTTCATGGGTTTTATTCCTAGCTGTGTGACCTTGGGCAGCCTCCTTGACCTCTCTGGGCTTCAGTCTACTTTATCTATAAAATGGGGCATAGCATGAAAGGAGGGATGACAAATGTACAGTATGCCTGGCCTTACTCTAATACTGTACCCATGGAAGACAACACTAATCAATCACCTGTCTTTTGCTGTGCCTGGATCCTGCCTCAGAATCTACTTTCGATATATTGCTCCAGGCAGTCACTATCAGTTAACTTGAAATTGAAACCTACTTGACTTCCATGGGCTTAAGTTTCCAAAGCCTTTTACATTTTGTAGAATTCCCATCCGAGCCATCGCTTGTCCCTGAGCTAGTGATCATGTCCCTGATATTGGTTTAATTCCTGTTCTGTATGGGGGTTGAGGAGTCACTAGGCCTGGAGCAGTGCTGTTAACAAAAATGTGATATGGCCAACATATACAATTTAAAACCTTCTAGTAGCTACATAAAAACAATACTTAAAAAAAGTGAAATTAATTTTAATCGTATGTTTTATTTAACCTAATATCATCTTAGTATATAAGGAAATTATTAATGAAATATTTTATATTTTTTTATGCTAAGTTTTCAAAATCCAGGGTGTATTTATGTGTATAGCGTATCTGGATATGGACTAGCCACATTTCTAGTTCTCAGTCACCACATGTGGCTCGTGGCCACTGTATTGGACAGTGTAGGGCCAGAGCTAAGCCCTTCCTGTATAGTCCCCCGGGTGAGCAAAGCCTGCCACATACCAGTGAATGAAGGGGGTGTTTTGCTGCATGAGCAGCCTGTGGCCACTTTTATTTGAGCCTCCTACTGGAACTAGCCCTACAGTGTGTTTAGTCAGTCTCTGTGTGCCCTGTGCATTTTTTTGAGCTCCTTGGGGAAGAATCTGTTTCTTATTTTTTTCAAAATTCCTACAGTGCCTAGCACCAGGGGTTCAACCATATAGCAGATATTTATGGGGGCCTCTGTAGAGATGAGGTCAGAGGCCCCTGTCCTCAGAAAGTGAGAGAAGGGCAGCTAAACAGATGTTGTAACTGGAATGGGGAGCTGGGGAGGTGTGATGAATACAGCCAGGGGTAGTGTTCAGGATTTTTAACAACCGTGGAGAGGCCTAGGGAAAGGCCAGTGAGGGGAGATTTGAGGCAATAGCTGTTTACCAGTCAGGATGTAAGTATTCAGGAGGTGAGCATCTGGAATGGCTATATCCGTGCGCAAAGCAGAATGTGAGTGCAGGGCCTTGAGTACAGTGTCCAACACCAAGCACGTGGTAGGTGGCTGGGTAGACCCAGCAACACACAGGAGGTACTCTGTGGGTCCTTCCTGAATGTCATGGCCCTCTGTCCTGACTCTTCCTCTGCCCTTCTCAGTGACTTCTTCCCTGGTTTTCTCCACAGGGTTGGGTCAGTCCCTGTCAAGTGCCCCACAACCCCAGGCCTTGCCTGCCGCAGGTGAGGATGAAGGGGACAAGCTGGAGGCCAAGCAGGTCGTCTTCATTGACAGCTCCTATCTGTGCCAGTTCTGCCCCAGCAAGTTCAGCACCTACTTCCAGCTCAAGTCCCACATGACCCAGCATAAGAATGAGCAGGTAAGTGGGTGGTGGGCAGCGGGAGGCCACAACCACCCGAGTGTGAGCCTTGGCTGGTGCTGGGGTCTTGAACACTGTCTAGAAAGGGACAGGAGTGGGCCTCAGTTGCAGTGAGCTACCATCTAACCACCCGAGATAGGCCAAGCTTTCCCTCTCTAGGTGGGGCCAGCTTACTGGGCTATTATGGTGCTAAGCCAAGGGAGGAAACCCACCTCTTATGGGTCATATAATATAGAAACTGGACATGAGAAAAATTCTCAATGCCCCAAGAAAATCTAACGTCTAAACACCTACCTATGGAGGATTGACCATAGTCTTTTTTTTTTCCAATCAAGATATAATTTGCATCCCACAAAATTCACCCTTTTTATTTATTTTTATTTTTATATTTTTTAAGATTTTATTTATTTATTTGACAGAGAGAGACACAGCGAGAGAGGGAACACAAGCAGGGGGAATGGGAGAGGGAGAAGCAGGCTTCCCATGGAGCAGGGAGCCCGATGCGGGGCTCGATCCCAGGACCCTGGGATCATGACCTGAGCCGAAGGCAGACACTTAACGACTGAGCCACCCAGGCGCCCCAAAATTCACCCTTTTTAAAGTGTACACTTCAGGAGCTCCTGGGTGGCTCAGTCAGTTAAGTGTCATTTTGGCTCATTTTGGCTTTCAGGTCATGATCTCAGGGTGGTGAGATTGAGTCCTGCATCTGGCTCCACGCTGGGCTTGGAGCCTGCTTAGGTTTCTCTCTCGTAAATAAATAAATAAATAAATAAATAAAATCTTTTTTAAAATTTCAGAAAAATCTAAAGAATATATAGGTTGAAGAATGCATTTATTAGATGCTGGACACCCTGCTAATTGCTTTACATTCAATATTTTATTTAATCTTCATAGCAACCTTAGGGATAGGCATTTTCAGTATATCTAAATGAAGAAACCAAGGCCCGGAGGGGTGAAGTGACCTATCCAGAGTCACACCACCAGTAACTGACTAGGTCAGGGCTCAAAGCCAAACCCCATGTCATTAACCACTTTGCAGTATGTCCTCCCCAGAATGCAGCAACAAAATCCAGCATATTTTGTAGAGTTTGTGTTTTTTTATTATAATTGGGATCTGTTCATACATATAATTTTGAATTGTACTTTTTTTTTCCTGATAGCTTATTTTTTAAACCTTTTTTTTTTTTTTTTTTAAAGATTTTATTTATTTATTCATTAGAGACAGAGGGAGAAGCAGGCTCCCCGCCGAGCAGGGAGCCCGATGCGGGACTCGATCCCAGGACCCTGAGATCATGACCTGAGCCGAAGGCAGACGCTTAACCATCTGAGCCACCCAGGCGCCCCTAAACTTTTTCTTTTGGAAGAATTGTAGATTCCCAAGAAGTTGCAAAGATAATAGGGAGAGATCCCTTATGCCCTTCAGTCAGTTTCTGTCAATGGCTACATCTTACCTATCTACAGCCTGATATCTACACCAGGAAACTGACATGGGTGTAAAGCTATGTATAGTCCTTTGCCATTTTACCACCTATGTAGGTTTGTACTGCAGTCACAGTATAGAACTATAACATCACCACAAAGATCTTCCTTGTTCCACCCCCCTCATTATTACACCTGCTCGCCTCTTCCCCAGCATCCTCAGCCTCTGGAAACCACTAATCAGTTCTCTCTCTTTATAAGTTTGTCATTTTGAGAACATTGTATAAATGGAATCATCCGTATGGGGCCTTTTGAGATTGGGTTTTTTTAATAAGCATAAATTCTCCTTAGATTTGTGCTTTCTATTTTTTTTTAAAGATTTTATTTATTTATTTGACAGAGACACAGTGAGAGAGGGAACACAAGCAGGGGGAGTGGGAGAGGCAGAAGCAGGCTTCCCGCTGAGCAGGGAGCCCAATGCGGGGCTCGATCCCAGGACCCCGGGATCATGACCTGAGCTGAAGGCAGACGCTTAACGACTAAGCCACCCAGGCGCCCCTGTGCTTTCTATTTTTTAACCTAATTTTATATTCTGAGAATTTTCTCATGTCACTGTTTAAATAAAAAACATAATTTTTAAGCTACATTTTAAAAAATCCCATTGTTTTAACATGTAGGATATGAACTGTGTTTTGCTATTGTAAGCAAAACCATGGTGAGCATCATTATAATCAAATCTTTATCCAAATCTCTGACTTTCCCTTACCCTAGATTCCCAGCAGGGGGGTTGATGGAATTAAGTTAGGATACCCTTGGGGAAAATCACAGAAAACTTTGACTCCAGCTGCTTAAACAATTAAGAGGTTTGTCATTGCACATAAAAAGAAAACCCAAGATTGGGCAGCTCAAGGCCTGAGAGAGTTGACTCAACCCAATATCAAGGACCCTGTGTCCTTCTAGCTCTTGTCTCTGCCACCTCAGGATATGACGTTGTTCGATACTAATGGCTTACCTGTGGTCTTGGGATGGTAGTCACTCTTTCTAGGCAGTAGTCCAGTAGTCCAGACACAGCAAAAACACGCTGTCTTCTCTGTGTCTCTTTCCTAGAAGCCCTCTGTAGATCTCTCATTAGTCAGAGCCCGTGGATACGCTCTATCACTTAGGAATTCATTATTACTCTGCAAATAATAGACAACTAGCTTACTAGTTAGGGTTTTATTTCCCTAGTGTCACAAGAAGTCCATAAGTAAGCAATGTTGGGCTTGTATAGCAGGTCAGATATGTCATCGTAGACTCAGGCTTCTGGTTTGCGGCCCTGCCTCCTTAGCATGTGACTTCCATCCTCAAGATTGCATAATAATTGCTGTATCTCCAGCCATCACATCTGTATTCCAGTCAGGACAAATGAGAAAAGCAGAGGGGATTTCTCCTAGGATGTTTTTGCCTTTGTGTTCTGGAAGTAATACCTTCCCTAAAGACTACTGTGTGCATATCAGTGACAAGAAAGGAGCCACATGGCTGACACAAGGGAGCCAGGGAGATCAAGTGTTTTAACTGGGTATGTTGCCACCCTGAACAAATCAGCGTTCACTTTGTTAGGAAGAAGGAGCAAGTGGAACTGTACAGGCAATCAGGATTATGCTTGTCAAAGTATAATTTTCAAAATTTAAAAATCTAATTCTCATACAAATAACATAGTGAACATGAGCCAGAATTTTACATAACTCATTAATAAGGAACTAGAAGGATGACAAAGCCGGTGCAAAAGAGGATCTAAGATACTACTATTTATACTTACATATAATTATGTCAGTGAAAGAAAGGAACATTGAAATAAGATTGTTCGGGTAGATACCCTTTTTGGGTCTTTACCCAAAAAGACCTTTGAGGGTATCTTTTCCACCTGACGAAAATAATTTACATTGGATCTGTTTTCCGCAAGTTAATATTTAACTCTAGAGTCTGGATCCTAATCAACAGTAAATAATCAAAACAAGGCCCATCCCCCAGAGAGTGGGATGACCCTAGGCAGGCTCGTTAGATAGCACTTCTCAAAGTGAGGTCCCCAGAGCAGCAGCTTCGGCTTCTGTCACCTGGGCACTTGTTAGGAGTACACCTACTGTGTTCCAAGCTCTGACTTACGGACATTGATCCTGCCACGCCTGCTGAATCAGATGCTCTGGGAGTGGTGCCCAGCAATCTGTCACTGCGGTGGATGCTCAAGTCGGAGGGCCACTACTCAAGTACAGCACTGGAAGGACATGATGTCATCTTTTCCTTGTATTTCCCAGCTTGGGGTAATTCTCCTAAATATACCCAGGTCACCCAGCACCTGAGGGAAAGGTAATGGGGCCTTGTGACTGGCTGAGAAGAGAGGGCTGTCTCGTCAAAATAAAACAGAGCTCCAGGAGCAGGGGAGCAGGGGAACAGTCTGCCTCCCCTCACCTGGTCTGTGGCTTCCCTCCAGGTTTACAAGTGTGTGGTGAAAAGCTGTGCGCAGACGTTCCCAAAGCTCGACACATTTCTGGAGCACATCAAGAGCCACCAGGAGGAGTTGAGCTATCGCTGCCATCTCTGTGGCAAGGACTTCCCCTCGCTCTATGACCTGGGCGTGCACCAGTACTCCCACAGCCTCCTGCCGCAGCAAAGCCCCAAGAAGGACAGCGCGGTCTACAAGTATGTGCCCTCTCCCTGCCCCCTCCCCCTCCCTGCTGGGACCCCAGGGCTCTGCAGCCTTGCTCGTTCTGACTGCTAAGGACCTGGGGGAGAAGGTGCTGGCCCTCCTTATATCATTCTTCAGTTTGGTAGACATTTATCCTAAAAAATAATCTGGAAAAAAAAAGGGAAACCAATATTTTTTCATTCATAGTGGAAAACAGATTTTTTTTTCCTAAACTAAAAATGCTATGAAAATATAATTTTGTCTGATGATCTACAAAATTTAGGTTACAGTCAGAATGGTACACCGATTCTTAGAATGAAAACAGAATGAACAAGCACATACTGGAAAGCAAAAATCATAAAAATAAGATTCATTTGTTTTATAATCTATAAAATTCAGGTTAAAGTTGAAACTATAGGCTGATCCTTAGAATGAACAAGGAATGAACCAAGTGTAGATTGTCTTTGGGGTAGTTTTTCCGCCAATCCTTTACAGTGCTTTAGTCTTCCATTGTAGTCATAGAGAGCATCCTTTTGGCAGAAATGAAAAAAGGCTCCCTCAGTTTTGTCACAGGCTTTTAATCCTTGAGTCTTCAAATCGTTCTCATTGAGCTATCAGTCCCGTGACCGATCCTCATTGAGTTTCTCTTACTTGGTTGTTTCCTGGTCCCCCTTCCATACCCTTCTTAGTCGATGGGTTATCTGCAGGTGCCCAGTATCACTTTCATAACTGTGAAATCCCACATTTTTGCCCTGCAGCCATTTTGCTGTGCATTCACCCAAAGTCGTCTGGAGCAGCCGCCTCACAAAGGCTAGCATATAGTGCGTGGGGAAGGTATTAGTGATAAGCAAGGAAGGGTATTTGTCAGGGGACTGCTCCCAGTTCTTAGTATTTTCGTGTTGGAATGGTTTTGCTTCTCTGTACAAACTTGTGTCGGTAGGGATTTCTCCAATAACCTCTGTTAATGAGGCGTAATTCCTGGGTGACGCTTCTGGGCTTCAGAGATAAGTAACAACAGACCCTGAGTTTAGAATGCACAGGCTTCTTAGGGAGACAAGTGTGTAAATACGCTTACACGTATTGTGATAAAATGCTAATGTATACGTAGATAAAAGGTATACGAGTACCACAGTGGGACGTAGGGCAGGGAAGGTGTCCTTGAAGCAGTGATATCTGAACTGGGTTTTGAAGGATGAATAGGAGTTGGCCAAGTAGGTAGGGTAGAGTGCATTCCTAGCAGAAGGAACAGCAAGCGTAGAGATATAAAATGAAATAGCAAGTGGTTTAGAATGATCACTGTGTAGAGTGGAAGTGGGAGAGGATGTTTAGATGTGGCCTAGAGGAGAAAGTAGGTTCAGGGTAAGGGTAAGAAGGGCCTGTAGAAATCACAAAAGCTTTGAGAAATTGGCAGGGGGACTGGGACTTAAATGGGTGTAGGGCAGCTTGTCCTGGAGGAGGTTGGGAAGTGGAGCCAGAGAGGCAGGAAAACAAGGCAAAACTTTGGCCAGTCAAGGGGTGGAAATTTCTGGTTAGTGATGGATAATTCCCATTTGTAGTCAGGGGGCATTTTATTTTGCTTTTGCCTTATGGATTTGTGGATTATTTGTGAGTTCCTGAGACTATGTGGCTTTCTGGAGTGAGATGCCAAGTAAAAGGAAGGGAGCACCTACTATGTGCCAAGCTCTGACGCAGGGACATTGATCCCTGCAATCCTGGGAGGTAGGTAGTTGTATTAGTCAGCTCCAGCTATAACAAAATGCCACAGACACATGATCTCTTTTTATTTATTTATTTATTTATTTATTTATTTATTTATTTATTTATTTATTTATTTTTAAAGATTTTATTTATTTATTTGACAGAGACACAGCGAGAGAGGGAACACAAGCAGGGGGAGTGGGAGAGGAGAAGCAGGCTCCCCGCGGAGCAGGGAGCCCGATGTGGGGCTCGATCCCAGGACCCTGGATCATGACCTGAGCCGAAGGCAGACGCCTAATGACTGAGCCACCCAGGCGCCCCATGATCTCTTTTTATAAGGGCACTTTGTCATCATGAGGACCCCACCCTCATGATTTCATCTAAACCTAATCATACACACACAGACCCCCACCAAAGGTCCCATCTGTAAATCTGTAAATACCATCACATTGAGGGTCAGTGCTTCAACATACGAAGTTTGGAGGGACACGGTTCAGTCCATGACACTGACGTTCTCCCCATTTTGAAGATGAGGACACTGAGGCTCAGAGAGGAGAAGTGCCCTCATCAGTAACAGTGTCAGCACAGAGCTGAGATTCAAATTCTTGTCTGGAACCTTGGAAGCCTCACAGCTCTAGTCTTGGAATTTGTAGGCTAGGGGTTGAGCCCAATGCTGATGGCCCTGTGTCTACAGTCAATCTCTTCTCCTAGGTTCTCGTGTGAGGGTTACAGTGCCAGTAACCCTTTGTAGCCATTGGATCTCCTGGCCCAAAGGTAAGACCCGAGGAGGCAGGCCACCATCTGGATGACCCAAGGGTGGAATGCTATCTTGAGTAATGATAAGGAGCCACCTGCCTGTGCTCAAATCCCAGCTTGACTACAAGCCCAGGAGATGACCTTGGCAAGGTATCTGGCCACTCTGGGCCTCAGTGTCCACATCTTTGAAATGGGGATAACTATAGTGCCTACCATATTGGATTATTTATGAGGATCAGGTAAAACAACTATGAGGCTCTTGAACATGATACCTGGAACATCGTAGGTGCTCAATAAATGTTATTGCTGCAATTATTATTTGTACAATTTAGATATAGGTTTGGCTGCGAGCAATAGAGGCTCCAAATAATAGTGGCATAAATGAGTGAGAGTTGGGCGCCTGGGTGGCTCAGTTGGTTAAGCGACTGCCTTCGGCTCAGGTCATGATCCTGGAGTCCCGGGATCGAGTCCCGCATCGGGCTCCCTGCTCGGCAGGGAGTCTGCTTCTCCCTCTGACCCTCCCCACTCTCATGTGCTCTCTCTCATTCTCTCTCTCTCAAATAAATAAATAAAATCTTAAAAAAAAAAAAATGAGTGAGAATTTATTTCTCTCTCACAGTAATGTTTGAGCAGGTATAGGGCCTTCATCCTATTTTCAGGTGTCCAGGCCCCATTGGTCTATCTGCGCTGCTCCCTTTGGACCACATTGCCTTGGCCTGTCTATGCTGCCTCCCCAAACCCCAAACCCTTCAAGTGAATTTTATGCATGCCACTCTATATATGCTATATATTTACTTTTTCCTTTTAAAAATAAGATTTATTGATTTTTTCCTGATTACAAAAGTTCCTAAGTTCAATGCAGAGAAAAAAATATTTTTTAAAGATTTTATTTGATAGAGCGAGTGAGAGAGAGCACGACTGGTGAGGGGTGCAGAGGGAGAGGGAGGAACAGACTCCCAGCTGAGCAGGGAGCCCAATGTGGGGCTCGATCCCAGGACCCTGGGATCATGACCTGAGCCGAAGGCAGACACTTAACCGACTGAGCCACCCCGGCGGCAGCCCCGAGAAAAAATTTTTTTTAAATCGCACAAAAACCAAAACCCTGCAAACAAAAAATAATCCCTGTTAACCTCTTGGTACATGTTATTTGGTCTATGTCCGTAATAAGCATGTTTATAGATATAACTACCACAGGCTACATCCCAAACACAGTTACTGACTTTGGTGAAAATTCATCACGCCATCTTCATGTCCCACAACTTCCAACAAACTGACTGAAACTTAATGGGATCACTCTGTACACGTGGTGTGCATTATCACTTGCAACTGTAATATGGACATCTTTGCATCTCAGTACAAACAGACTTGCCCCAGCCTTTTCAGTGGCTGCTTACCATTCCATTGTACATGCCACATTTATGTAAGTGGTCCTTGATTGCAGGATAGTCAGGTTATTTCTAGTTTCTCATCATTACATACAACACTACAGAGAACAACTTTGGACATACATCTTTGCTCACTTATAAATAAGTTCCTAGAAGTGATTTTGCAGGTCAGAGATCAATGCGGGAGGGGCATCTGGCTGGCTCAGTCGGAAAAGCGTGCAACTCTTGATCTCAGGGTTGTGAGTTCGAGCCCCACATTGGGTGTAGAGATTACTAAAAAAAAAAAAAGCAATAATAAAAATTTTAAATCAAGAGGGCTTTTATTTATTTATTAAAGATTTTATTTATTCATTTGAGACAGAGAGAATGAGAGACAGAGAGCATGAGAGGGAGGAGGGTCAGAGGGAGAAGCAGACTCCCTGCCGAGCAGGGAGCCCGATGCGGGACTCGATCCTGGGACTCCGGGGTCATGACCTGAGCCGAAGGCAGTCGCTTAACCAACTGAGCCACCCAGGAGCCCTCAAGAGGGCTTTTAAAAAGATTGATTACCTACTTCAAAAAATAATTATGTGGGGCGCCTGGGTGGCTCAGTCGTTAAGCGTCTACCTTTGGCTCAGGTCATGATCCCAGGGTCCTGGGATCGAGTCCCACATCGGGCTCCCTGCTCAGCGGGAAGCCTGCTTCTCCCTCTCCCACTCCCCCTGCTTGTGTTCCTGCTCTCGCTGTCTCTCTCTGTCAAATAAATAAATAAAATCTTTAAAAAAAATAATTATGTGTATACAGTACAATATTTAATTATTAAAAAAGGGCATGAGTGAAAAGGATTTCCCCACCTACTCCGAGCCCCTTCCCCATACCTCAGTCACTTTCAAGAACTTATTTTGATGTAATTTCAGACTTCCAGAAAAAATATAAGAGTAGTACAAAGGATTCCCATATATATCCTTCACCTAGATTTTCCAAATGTTAACTTTTCACCACATTGGTTTTATTATATTCTGAGCTATTTGAGGATAATTTGCTGATGTGATGCTCTTTCACCCTTTGTCTTTAGTGTATAGTTTCTGGAAATAAGGACAACCTCTTACAGAAGCACTGTGTAGTTATCAAAATCAGAAAGTTAAATCAATACAGTTCTGTTTCCTAATCTGCAGACCTTATCAGAAATTTCCAGTTGTTTCAGTAACATCCTGTATAGACAAAGTAAATGTTTTTTCTGGCCTGGGATCCAAGCCAGGATCACAGGTTACTTTAGATTGTGTCTCTTTATTCCCTTTAAGCTGGAACAGCTGCTCATTCGGTCTTTGGCTTTCATGACCATGGTGTTTTTGAAGAGTATAGGCCGGTTATTTTGTAGAATGTCCTCAATTTGGGTTTGTGTGATTTGACCTCAGGTTAGATGCGGGATTGGCATGCTTGGCAGGAAATATCACAAAGTAACGCTCTGTCCTCAGCACGTCATATCGGCAGGCACATGACATTGGTTTGCCCCCATGCTGAGGATGTTACCTTGGGTGACAGGGTGAAATTTCTGGCAGAAAGTTTTAATTTTAATGGTTCTGGCTAAGCTACCTCCCACAGAAATCAGTGTCTCCTCACTGCTGAAGCCTGTGGAGTCCTTGCCCTCTCCTACCTCACCAGCTTGCAAGGTCTCTGTCCCCCCGCTAGCTCCACTCCCACCTGACCTGCTCTTTCTTTCTTGTCATCTGGAGGCATTTAGCCTGTGGTTTTCAGAGTGTGGTCTGAGGGGGTTCTGCTGGGCCTACCACAGGTGCAGGCTGCCTGTGCGTTTCCCCTGGTGGCCGTGGTGTACAGATGTCAGCGCCCATGTTTCTATTTTTGGCTTGAATTCCCACCTACCTGTGGCATTCCTCACTGGAACCTCATCATAAATGGGCCCATTTGCTAGCAAATGTTTTTATGGTTGGGAGACTGGAGGGATCTTTTCTTCAGAGTGGCTTGTGACCTGAAACTACTGTTTGAAGGCTTGTCAGCCAGTGATGTTAAGAGTGGAGACCCCGTCTATAATGCTTTGTGATTTATGAGCTGTTTGGCACACTTGTGTCCTTTGACTCTTGTGACAATCTTAAGAATGAACAAGGGGCATGTCCATTTGGGATTCCTACCCCGTTTTGTGGGTGAGGAAACTGAGGGTCAGAAACAAGAAGGTGCCAGGCCTGGATGCTTGCCTGTCTGATTCTTTCACATAACAGATTGTCGCTGGTGCTCAAATCAGGTTATGAACAGGACAGATATTGTCCCTGCCTCCAGAGTCCAATTGCTGGTGAAAAAGACAGATCAAATCAAGTAAGCAAATACATAAATAATAATTATAGATAGTAAGTGCTAAGAAGAAAACAAAACTGGGTGATGTGGTAGGGAGTGCCCAGGGGTGGGCCATAGGGGACAACTTGAGACAGGGTGCTCAAGGAAGACATCTCACCTCATTTGAGGTGAGACCTGAAGGATAAGAAGGTGCTGCCCAGGGCGCCTGGGTGGCTCAGTCGGTTAAGCGACTGCCTTTGGCTCAGGTCATGATCCTGGAGTCCCGGGATCGAGTCCCGCATCGGGCTCCCTGCTCAGCGGGGGGTCTGCTTCCCCCTTCTGCCCTCTTCCCTCTAGTGCTCTCTGTCTCTCATTCTCTCTCTCAAATAAATAAATAAAATCTTAAAAAAAAAAAAAAAAAAGAAGGTGCTGCCCAAGGGAATACTTGAGGAAGAGTGTTCCAGGTAGCAGGAACAGCAGGTACAAAGGCCCTGAGATAGGAGAGTTTGGTGTGTTCAAGGTATATTAAGGAGGCCAAGGTGGCTGGAGCAGAGCGGGGAGGGCCGTGGAGAAAGATGAAGTCTGAGAGGTAGGAGTGGTCAAGCCACTAGAGCCTTGTAGGCCAAGGTGGGGGCTTTTAAGCAAGGATGTGACATGGTCTGATTTTCTTTTCTTTCTTTTTTTTTTTTTTTTCATCAAAGATACTCCCTCTGGGGCACCGGGCTGGCTCAGTCAGTAGAGCATGTGACTTTTGATCTCAGGGTCATGAGTTCAATCTCCACATTGGGTGTGGAGCCTACTTTAAAAAAAAATTTTTTTTTAAAGGAAAAGAATGAATTAAACATAGAATTTTGCCTCGCAGTGTTGGCCCTGGGGGAGGAGAATGGCTGGGCCAGTCCAGCCTCCTCACACTGCTCAGTCACCTCTCCTGCTCCTTCCCATATAGGTGTGTCAAATGTGTCAACAAATACTCTACCCCCGAGGCCCTGGAGCACCACCTGCAGACCGCCACTCACAACTTCCCCTGCCCTCACTGCCAGAAGGTGGGTACCTCTGCCCTTTCCCGGCTGGGGCAACCATAGGGGGTGAGAGATGGTAGAGCAAACACCTCACACTCTCCTGGGCTTGTCTCCATAGACGACACTTCACCTTTGAAGAGTAAGAGCCCTGCCATCTGAGCCGCTAGGTAGCACATGTGTCCATCCTGCGGCTGCTGCTGGGCCAGGCCAGGCCAGGCTGCGCCGATACGGGGTGAGGCCTCTCCTGGGCCCAGGCCCAGCATCTGAACAGTGGCCTCCAGCTTCCTGACCTGCTGTTATCCTTCTTGTTATGGGTTCTTCTTTTCAATGAATCTGAAAGCCATCGCTGTTTGTTTGAATCAGGTCCACACACTCCAGTTGGTTTATACAACCAAAGTTTCTGTTCATCAACAGGTTCCCACCAGTGCTCCTTTTTCTTTCTTTCCCTTTTAATTTATTTGTTGAAGAAACTGGGCCATTGGTCCGGTGGAGTTTCCTGAATTCTGGATTTTGCTGATTGCATCCCCTTGGTGTGATTAACTGGTTTCTTTATTCTACTCATTTTCTCACAGCCTTACATGGCAGATTTTCCAGGACAGCCCTGGTTTCACTTCAGCCTCATGGTAGATGTTTCTAATTATGTAGATAGCCTAATTCGGGGCTTTGGAATTTGTGTTCCAAATAAAAGGTATCATGAATTGAACAAGAACCACATGCCAGATGCTGTTAGCAGCATTTTATCTGAATTGAGTCATTTAATTCTAGGAAGCATACCTTTACTGTTCCCATTTTACAGATGGGGAAACTGAGGTGCAGCAAGGTCACCCAGCTAGGACATGGTGGAGCTACTAAGTAGTTGGGTCTGTAACCCTAACTACTTCTCTGTAACAAATGAATGAAAAAATGAATGAATGCTTTTCTTAAGGCCAGAGAGGAAGGAGATTTCGGCTTCCGTGTTTCCTGGCTCTTTGTTATCTTTTCATTCAGTTCTTCAGTTCTGTATTCATTTTGTCATTCATTCTTTTGCATGTAAGTCCTTGGACCCAGGCCCTGTGCTGGTGAATGAAAGCTCCTCTGCCCTTGTAGAGATCTCATATAAGCAACAGGTTATATAATTCAGTGGGTTAGATGGTGACTTTAAAAACGTAGATGAATAGGGGCACCTGGCCGGCTCAGGTGGGAGAGCATGCGACTCTTGATCTCGGCGTCGTGAGTTCGAACCCCACGTTGGGGGTAGAGTTTACTTAAAAAAATAATAAATAAACAAACAAAACGTATATGAACATTCAAGGGCAGAGTTTGTGTTGCCTTGTTTGGCATTAGAGAGTCAGAGAGGGCCTCACAGAAGCAGGGACACCTGAGCTGGGTCTTGACGGCCAAGTGGGAATTTGTCAGGCTAAGAGAGAAAGGCCTTCTGGGTAGAAAAAGCAGCCTGGCAGGAGCTCGGAGCATGCGTTATGGGTGAGTCGTGGGAGCTGTGAGGTTCTAAGGGTGGAGCCTGACGCTGGGCCCTGATCCCTGGTGGGCAGAAAGGAAATTGTTTCTGCAAGTGTGGGAAATGAGGGGCCCCTTAAGCTCAGGGGGTGGTGAGGGCTAGTGAGTCAGGCCTAAGCCAGCTCCTCTCTTCTGCCAGGTGTTTCCTTGCGAGCGCTACCTGCGGCGTCATCTGCCCACGCACGGCAGTGGTAGCAGGTTCAAGTGCCAGGTGTGCAAGAAGTTCTTCCGGCGGGAGCACTACCTCAAACTGCATGCTCACATCCACTCGGGTGAGTATACAAGGTATACAACCACCTATGGCTAGGGCTGTTTTGGAATATGAGGATTGTGTTTTTTCTAACAAAAGGGGGACTGTCTTAAGCCGTTCTACAGTTTTCTTTCCCCACGAGCAGTATGACCAGGAGCGTCTTTCCAGATCAAGAAACACAGATGGACCCTAATCTTTTTAATGACTGCAGAGCATTCCATTGTAAGGACCAGAATTTCCTTAATCACTGGGTTGGCATTTTTCAAAAGTACTTTATTCATTCCAGAGGGAGAACAGGGAGGAAATAATGGCAGGAAATAAAAAACAGCCCAATAACAGCCCTTTTTCACAGGGCAGGTTGTGACCCCTGACCCCTGGCCCCTGTCAGGTGGGAGCTGCTCTTCTCCGGCTCCTGGTCCCCACCAGGCTCTGCTGCAGTCGATGTGGGGCGACTCAGGTGGACTCTGTGTCACACTGCTGGGCTGGCATCTTAGCTCACTAGGTGCAGACCATGACCTTCAGTTTTCTCATCTAGTACTTACCTCGTAGTTTGTGGTAACAATTCCATTAGATGAGGTGTAATTCCCCTCTCCCCTGTGGTGGACCCCATTTCAGTAAATGCCACAACCATTCACCCGTCATTCAGCCCTCCTTAGATTCGTCCTTGACTCCCTTCCCCTCACACCTCACAGTCAATCCACTGGCAAAGGCTGCTGATTCCGCTTTCCTAACATGATCTGTACTTGGCCACTTCCTGCGCCTCCACCCCCGCCCCCACCCCTTCGGTCTGTTCTCTGCATGCAGCTAGAGGGAGCCCATGACACTTTTTTTTTTTAAGATTTTATTTATTTATTTGACAGAGAGAGACCCAGTGAGAGAGGGAACACAAGCAGGGGAGTGGGAGAGGGAGAAGCAGGCTTCCCGCGGAGCAGGGAGCCCAATGCGGGCTCGATCCCAGGACCCTGGGATCACGACCTAAGCTGAAGGCAGACACTTAAGGACTGAGCCACCCAGGCGCCCATGAAACTCTTTTTTTTTTTTTTTTTAAAGATTTTATTTATTTATTTGACAGAGAGAGACACAGAGAGAGAGGGAACACAAGCAGGGGGAGTGGGAGAGGGAGAAGCAGGCTCCCGGCAGAGCAGAGAGCCCTATGCGGGGCTCGATCCCAGGACCCTGGGATCATGACCTGAGCCAAAGGCAGACGCTTAACGACTGAGCCACCCAGGCGCCCCGCGCCCGTGAAACTCTTAAGTCAGATCTCTCCCTGCTCCACTCAGCACCTCTGGTGGCTTCTCATCTTGCTCCGAGTAAAAACCTAGGCCTTCCAGGCCCTTCCTGTTGGGCCCGGCTGTCTCGCTGACCTCCCCTTCTGCCTCATTCTCCTGTCCCCACTCTGTTCCAGCCACACTGGCCTCCCCACTGCTCTTCACTGTTCACCACACACTCCCCACTTTTCCTTTTTCCTGGTACCTCACTCCACTTTCCATCATGGCTCTTTCCCCAACCACCTCAGGTCTCCCCTCTTGCCTCATCAGAAAGGCCTTTCCTGACTGCCCTATCTGAAATAGCCCCCTCTTCTTGGAAAAATAAATTGAGGAATGGGAGAGGCTGTTTTCTCCCAGGCCACTTCCCTAGAGGGGCTGCTATCCTCTAGTGTACCCCATATTCAGACTCCATCTCATGGGACTCTCGGTCCCTGCCCCCCATCTGTGTCTCCTCCTACAGGTGAGAAGCCCTACAAATGCTCTGTGTGCGAGTCTGCATTCAACCGTAAAGACAAACTGAAGAGACATATGTTGATCCATGAGCCATTCAAGAAATATAAATGCCCCTTCTCGTGAGTAGAGACTGGCATGAGTGGGAGGGGCAGATTTACCCAGCAGTGGGACAGAAAATTGTCCGGGCTGAGGTTCTGAAGGCCCTCTCTCCTTTTATCCTGTTGTGGGCCTTGCCTGCCTGCCTCACTCCCCACCCTGCTTCCTTGCCTGGCCTTTGGGATAGACAGGGAGTCCCTCATGCCCAGGACTAGCACAGAGACCAGCAAGAGAGTCCAAGTCTGGTGAGCTCCCCCTTACCAGTGGTTTTGGGTTCTAGGACACACACGGGCTGCAGTAAAGAATTCAACCGGCCAGACAAGCTGAAGGCTCATATCCTCTCCCACTCTGGTAAGTGACTGCTGGACCTATCAGGAGGGTCTGAATCCCTGGGCCAGACCGCCTAGAAAGAGCAGACACATCCCATGAGGCTTGTTATCACTGCCTGGTATATTCCAGCCAACAGACTTTTGCTCATGTGAGCCATGAGCCAGGTCTGCATTAGGGTCCTCACGGTCCTACAGAGGTGAGTCAGATACAGTCCCTCAGGCTGAGGGGGAAGCCGACCTGAGAGGAGATAGCTGTAAATCAGAGAGGTGCCCAGTGTGATAGAGATGTGGATCAGGCATGGAGGGAAATCAGATTCCAGCTGGGTCCAGGACACAGCCAGGAAGGTCCCTTGGTACCCTCAGCAGAGCAGGGCAGCTGGTGCATGGAGCAAGGGTCTCCACTCCACTCCTCAGTTTCCCAGGGGCTCTATGGCACTTCTCTGTCCCCAGAGCAGCTTGGCTGGCTTTCCACATACCATTTGGTCTAGAACCCAGTTTCTTGGAACTCTTGATATTTTGCAGTAGCTGATGCTTTGTCATGGGAGCCGCCCTGTGCATTGTAGGATGTTTTACAATATCTCTGGCCTCTACCCTCTAGATGTCAGTGGCATCTTCCCCACAGTTAGGACACAACCACCGATGTCTCCAGAAGACAAGCCAAAAGTCTCCTGGAGGGTGAAATTGCCCCTGGTTAAAAACCACGGGTTTACAGAAAGGATTCAGTGGCTAAAGGAAGTTTGAAAACTGGGAGAGTAGAGAGTTGAGGACTTGAAGACAGAGGGCCTGAGTTTGATTCTTAGCACTACCACTGTCCTGCTGCGTTGCCTCGTGCAAGTCACTGCCCCTCTCTGAGCCTTCATCCCAGGGAGGGTGCGGGGAGCATGGCTCAGTCTGAGTATGGGCTGGAGTTGACTTCATGGTAGACACAGAGGCACCAGTGAGTGACTATTGAGAACCTATCACATGTCAGACTCTGGGGGTGACATGGGGGAATCAGATGGGCAGAGCCCATCCTGCCTTCCTGGGGAAGCTTAGCATTTAGTGGCAGAGACTGAAAATGAACAGATTACTGCGAGGTATGCAGAGTACAAAGACAGGAATAAACAGAGTGATGGGACAGAGAAAAATATGAGGCAGATATCAAGGGGGGCCTCCTAGAGGAGGTAACATGAGACCTGACCTGAGGGATAAGAAGAGCCAGGAAATAGCTTCCAGAAGGAGGGAGCAAGTGCAAAGCCTTGAGGCAGGGAAGAGACTGGGGTGTGTTTAAGACAAAGGTGAGTGGGAGGCTGGAGCTCATAGAGCAAGTGAGGGGAAGGAGGGAATGGGGCTGAGAAGTGAAGGGGGTGGTCAGACTGCACAGGGCTTTGCAGGAAACTTGGGGAATCGCTGGGGGGTTCAGAGCAGAGAATGTCAGGATCCTCCTGTGTATTTCATGAAGCCATCTCTGGCTGCCCTTTAGGGATGGTCTGAGGGGGCAAGGGTGAGGCAGACAGACCAGAGAGGAGAGAGATGATGGTGACCTGGCTAAGTTAGCCAAGGTTTCGGGGCTGAGCCTGCTAGTCTAGGCAGAGGGGAAACAGCAAGTGCAAAGGCCCAGGGGCAGGAGCCAGCTCGGTGGCCTGAGGAGAGCAGGTGTGGCTGGCTGGGTGTGAGTGGCTGGGCGAAGGTGGGAGATGAGACTGGCAGGAGCAGAGCCCAGATTGCACACATGGTCAGAGGCCAAGCCGAGAGCCTGGGTTTGATCCTGAGCGCAGAGGCACGGTTGCAGAGTAAGGGGTCGGGGTGCCTCTCACGGACTTCCCCTCGCTCCAGGCATGAAGCTCCACAAGTGCGCGCTGTGCAGCAAGTCCTTCAGCCGCCGTGCCCACCTCGCGGAGCACCAGCGTGCCCACACAGGTAACTACAAGTTCCGCTGTGCCGCCTGTGCCAAGGGCTTTTCCCGACACAAATACCTCAAGGATCACCGCTGCCGCCTTGGCCCCCAAAAGGATAAGGACCTGCAAGCCCGGCGGCCCTCCCGGAGGAGGGCAGCACCCCGCAGTGGCAGTGGTGGCGGGCGCAAGGTGGTGACTCCCCTGCCCGACCCGCTGGGGCTGGAGGAGCTGAAGGACACCGGGGCCGGGCCGGTGCCCGAGGCCGCCCCAGGCAAGCCGCCCTTCTCGGAGCCAGATGCAGTGCTGTCCATCGTGGTGGGGGGCACGGTGGGGGGCGAACCGGAGCTGGTAGTGCCCGGGCATGCAGAGAGCCTGGGCTCCAACCTGGCACTGGCAGAACTGCAGGCAGGGGCCGAGGGCCCATGTGCCATGCTCGCTGTGCCCGTCTACATCCAGGCCTCAGAGTGATGGACCCACGGTGTTTGCTCCCAGAGCCTGGCCTGATGCTCACCTGTGGGTCCAGGCCTCAGGGGCCGACGAGAGGTCCTTCCCAATGGAAGTGAGCCATTGGCCAAAATCCTTCTGGAGTGTCCTATGAACCCTGGCTGTGGCCAGCCTGCTGTGGCTCCTATTCTGCTGGCTAGCCCTGCCGCATTCTGGAATGTGAGGCAGGGCTGCCTACAGCTTCCAGGTAGGGGCACTGGAGAAAAGAGAGCTGGCCAGGCCAGCAGCCCAGGGTCTGGCTGGTCCAGGCTGGTGTCAGCCCACCTAAGAGAGAAGACAGGGTGGTCCTGCCCACCCCTCCTCCAGGCTGTCTTGGTGTGACCTCTGGTCAAGCTGCTTTTCTGGAGGCCTGAAATGGGTAGAGCCCTTATCTGCTGGACCTTTTCCTATACAGTTCCCCGTGGTTTCCACAGATGACTCTGTGCTGTAGGCATTTAGGCGGCACTCAAGTGTCACGGCTAGAGTGCAGCTGTCAGTCAGATTTGGCTTCAAATCTAAGCACTGCTACTCACTTGCTGTGTGACCTTGGGTATGTCACTTTACTTCTCTGAGCCCTCATCTGTACGTTTCTCATCTGTACAATGGGACAAACGACATTTCAACCTCATAGGGCTGTCATGGGGATCCAGTATGGCGAAATGTGCAAAGGACTTGGCATAGTGCTTGGCACTTGGAAAGTACTGAATAAATGTTTTTATGGAAATGTGTGTCCAATGGCTCAGGCCGGAGCCTTGGCAGTTTCCTTCTTTGCCCCTAGGTGGCAGCACTCCCTCCAAAGTGTGGGGGGACTGAGAGGTCCCATGGCCCCTTGCACACAGCTATGCTGCTCCATTAGCCATGAGAGGTTTGGTGCTCCCATATTTCAGAACATGGCCATGGAAAGGGTTTATACTCACTTTTGAAAATGCAGGATCCTGGGCCTTGCCCCAAACCCTTTGGCATCAGAAACTCTGATCAGAGCCAGAGGTCCATCTCAAGCAGGTCTCTAGAATCCGTAGTTGCTCCCACCGCCAGCACTCTGTCCCCACTCCCCAGCTAGTCCAGAGGAGAAGCAAACCAGGCTTACTAGGAGGCAGGGAAGAGAAAAGGGGCCTTGGCCAGTGTTTCCTCATTTCTATTCACAGCCACACTGTCTCAGTGATAGGAGACGAAACTGAGGCTCGAGAAGGGACAGGGCAGGATGCAGCAGATCTGTTGGACTCAGTTTGATATGTTCCCTTGAAGGCTGGCACGTCCCTCAGATATCTGTGCTGGGGCTCTGGGCTGGAGCTCAAAGCAAGCCCAACTTCCCCTCAGGAAGGGTATGATGCAGGAGGAAGGACCAATGAGGAAGTGGTACACAGCTGAGGCGGTGAGAGCTGTTAAGTGCACCTAGCCTTCAAGGCCAGAGGAGGGAGTGGTGAGGACAGAAAGTCTCTTCGCGGGAGGTCACATTTGAGCTGGTCCTTGACACAGAATGTTTTGATGGATGGATAAATAGGGAAAGGCATGTCAGGGAGAGCAAAACATGAGCAAAGCCTTCAAGTTACGACAGTTCTGGGGCTGGTGAATGATCCAGGATGACCAGAGATCTGGGGGTAGTGGTTAGATCATAATAATCGCTAATATGTTTCAAGCTTCCACATGATGGACACTGCACATAGCGCCTCAGCCCCATCAGGTGAGAATTGTTAATTTCCTTATTTTACAGATGAGGAAACAGAGGCGCAGAGAGGCAGAGCTCCTTGCCCAAAGCTCACACAGCTAGTAAGTCACAGAGCTGGGATTCGGGCTGGGGTGGCCTGCGTCTGTGTGCTGTTAGCCACTTTGCTGTATTGAAATATAAGTTGATGTTGAATCAGAGATATCGTTGGATGTTGGGTTAAGGAATTTGGACTTTATTCTCTACAAAATGGAGGAGTCATTAAACATTTTTAAAAATTGTGACATTAAAGAAAATGTTAAAAACGTCTCCATCCTAATAAAACTACTTAAGTTATATTTCTGTCTCTTTCTGCCTATGTACACATGCGTGTACATTTATCAATAATCATGAGGACTTGTGTTTACTAGGCGTAAGTGCATGTCCTAAGCACTTTGAGGTAGGTGCTACTTTTAATTCCATCTTACAGCTGAGATGAGGCAAAAGGCACAGCGAGGTTAAGCGGCCCCAAATCACACAACAGTAAGTGGTGGAGCCAGGCCACAAAACAAGGGATATGTCAAGGCCTAAATTTGATAGATACATAGTTGGACTGCAGGGAAGGAAGCTGGGACCATATTGGGGTTCCCATAACTACATCCCTCCTAGGTTGACAGATGGGAAGACAGGCTCAGAAAGGGGAAGGCCCTTGGTCAAGGGTCACTCAAAGTTGTTGACAGAGCTGCTCCAGGAACCCAGAGTCCCCTATAGGCCCCCCTCCGCAAGCTGCTGGAGATGATGAAGTGTAAAGAGGGGCTGTCCTGAGCCTCCAGGGTCCCACAGATTTTGGCATCGAGGAGAGCTAGTTTTGAATCCTGGCTCTGTCCCTTCCCAGGTATGTGGCTATGGCAAGTCACTTCACCTCTCTGAACTTCAGTGTCTTCATATGTCGAATCAGGGAGAATAATAGTACCTATCCAATAAGGTTATCACAATTCAGAGAATTCAGGTAAAGCAGAGATCACAAATTGGCAGCCCATGGGTTGCATGCAGCCTATAGACAAACTTCGTTTAGCTTTCACAATGAAAAAAAAAGAAAAAGCCAACATTTAAAAATAATGAAATTAAAAACCTACCGCAATGGTGAAAAGTGAGATATATTCCCTCTGTGTCAGGAACAAAAAAAGGATGCCTGCTATCATGATTCCCATATTATGTTGGAGGCCTAGCCAAAGCAATAAGGCGAGAAAAAAAAAGAGTATAAGCGTCAGAAAGGGTAAAATAATGGCAAGAATGCTGAAATAGCCAGATCAATATATAAAAATTTACTAGGTTCTATGAATTAAAAAAAATGCTGTTCCTATACTCCAGAAGCAATAAGAAAATGTAAGTAAAAATTGGGAGATTTGGGGGGCACCTGGGTGGCTCAGTCAGTTAAGCTTCCAACTCTTGATTTCAGCTCAGGTCTTGATCTCAGGGTCGTGAGTTCAAGTCCTACAGTGGGCTCCATGCTGGACGTGGAGCCTACTTAAGAAAAAAAAAAGCAAGTTAAAAAAAAAAAATTGGGAGATTTTGGGATGCCTGGCTGGCTCAGTTGGTGGAACGTGCAACTCTTGATCTTGGTGTTGTAAGTTTGAGCCCCACATTGGGTGTAGAGATAACTTAAAAATAGAATCTTTTATTTTATTTATTTATTTTTTTTTTAAGATTTTATTTATTTATTTGACAGAGAGAGACACAGTGAGAGAGGGAACACAAGCAGGGGGAGTGGGAGAGGGAGAAGCAGGGTTCCCGTGGAACAGGGAGCCCAATGCGGGGCTCAATCCCAGGGCCTGGGATCATGACCTGAGCTGAAGGCAGACACTTAACGACTGAGCCACCTAGGTGCCCCAAAAATAGAATCTTTTAAAAAATGGGAGATTCATATAAAAATCTGGATTCTGACTTCTGTTGCATATAAGGATGTCTGGCATAGGGAGACAGCAGGCAGGTGGAGGTGAGTTAGCCAGCCCCTTTCAATGGGCACATGGCGTTCCAGATGCCATGGTCCCTGTTTTTCTGTAAGGTCTCCCTGACATTGCAGCTGAATGTCAGTTGCTACTTACCATACTTGTGTTGATTTATCTTAGAGAAATATTTCTAATTTCACCATGTCTTTTGAGAGTAGAAAAACAAGATGGCCAGAGAGGGTCACATGAATTTTTATGTTCCTTGCCTACTCAACCATCTTTCTGTCTGGACCTGAGGTATATGACCTGAGGAACCCTGTAATAGTGCTTTCTTTTCTCCCTCCCACTGCCAGTCCTCTGTTTGCCTCTGAGCTAGCTGGCCTCAGTTTCTCTATCAATAAATGCGGGGAATTGAGTCATAGCTAACTTTACTTTCTATTAAGTGCCAAACCTTGTGTTCTGCGTCTTATTTACATGTCACTGACTCCTCAAAACACCCTTGGAAGCAAGCTCTCTTATCAAGCCCAGCTTATAAATGGGGAAACCAAGGCTCAGCGAGGTGTAGCAACCTGCCCAAAGATTCTCAGCCAGAATGTGTGGAGCTGGGCTTCAAACCCAGGACTGACAGACTCCAAAGTTCCTGCCTTGTCTTAGGATCACTAAAGCTCTCACCAGCTCTGATAGGCCAAGGTTTTGGTTTTGTTGTTGTTGTTGTTTTAATCACTTCTCCAAGGCTCCAAGCACTTTTCATCTCCTCAGCCATCACTGCCCTGTCCAGACTGCTAACCTCTCTTGCATGGATGATTGCATGAGTCTTCTCTTTGGTTTCTGTGATTTCTCTCTTACTCCACCATGATCCATTCTCTTGACAGCATCCCAAGGGATCTTTCTAGATTATGCCACTTTCCTGTTTAAAACCCTCTAGTGGCTTCCAATCTCTCCCAGAATGAAATCTAAAGTTTTCCTGGTAGATTTCAAGGTTCTGCATGACATGGCCCTCATCTTTTCTTCTCTCATTCTACTCTAGCCATACCTGTCCTCTTGCTGTTCCTCCATCATGTTAGTTAGTTCCTGCCTCAGGGCCTTTGCATTTGCTGTTCCCTCTGTCTAAAATGTTCTTCTCCCAGATTTTCATATGTCTGGCCCCCTCCCTCTATTTACCTTTGTCCAATAGTTATTTCCTTAGGATTCCCCTGGCCAATTTGTCTAAAATAGCCCCACCCCAGCCTCATCACAATCTAGTCCCTTACTCTTCATTTTTATTCATCACCCTTGACATTATATTAGACATTTCTTTACTGTCCATTCCCCTTATTAAAAACAAAAGGTCCACAAGGACAAAGACTTTTCTCTGTTTTGTTCAACATTTGTTGAATGAACCAACAACAGCACTTTGAGAGAAGAAGACCCACTCTACCCATCCCCTTTTCCCTATCCATGGAGGCCAAGGGTAAGTTTCCCTCAAGAAGAATCTGTCATGTAGGCTGAGAAATGGCTAACCTAAAGCCCTGTAAAGCTCCATTTTCCTTGTCTTAAGAAGCTGAGAATATCTGGGACAAATGACAGAGGCAATGGCTTGGAACTTTCAGCTGACGCAGCAGGTATTGGTGTGGCACAGGAGAACCAGTTGGACCAGTTTTGTCTCCTTTGGGGAGGCTAGAGTGGAGGTGGCAGCTGCAGGTGCTCCCAACCCCCAAGGCAGCCAGCAAATGAGACCCATGGGTTCTCAGGTCCTGTAGGTTGGTAGAGCAGATTCCACCTCCGGGTTGGGGGTGAACCCCTGCTCACCAAGGGTGGCTTGTGTAAGGTCAGGCACAGAATCCTGAGGCCAGGGGCTAAGGCCCAACTTCAGGGCCTTGGGCCCTTTGTAGAAGAACAGAGAATGAGGCCCAGAGAGGGAAAGGGTCTTGTCCAAGGTCCAACATAACAAGGCTAAATCCAAACCCAGTTTTCCTGCCCCCCAAGTCACTGCTACCTCAGCCCATTCATTTATCCATTTGACAAATATTTATTAAGTGCCTACTATATGCTGGGCATTGATGATACTACATGCAAGGCATTGATGATACATTGTGAATCAGAAAAATAATGATCTGTGGAGATCCTCTGTGGAAGAAGCAGAAGATAAACAACAAATAAGCAAGTATAATATGTTAGAAGGTGATGAGTACTGTAAAAAAAAAGAAAGAAAAAAATAGAGAGTAGTGTGTGTGGGGGGGGGGTGCAGGTTGCAGCATGATATGGGGTGGCCCAAAAAGCCTTACTAAGAAGGAAACATTTGACCCTCTAGGGCACAGAGGGTCATAGCCTACATGTGCTCAGATGAATAGGTATGGAATAGGCAGGTGCTGTAACCCACCATTGGCTCAAGTTCAGGGGCCCCTCCAACACACAGTCCCCTCCATTTCGCCTCTTGCCACTCTTCTACCCCTACTGCTAACTTTGCCCTATTCCCCAGGGAGGTCATACCTGCTCCCAGGCTCATCACACTTCATTTATTTGTGTTTATTTGTGCATATCTCTCTATCGATTCATTCATTTGGATAAAGGCAGTGTAGCATAGAGGTTAAGAAGGTTGTCCTACAGTGAGAATCTCAACTTTGCCCCTATAAGGCATGCGACCTTGGGCAAGCTGTTCAACTTCTCTGTTTCTGCAGTACCTAATACATAAAATGGGGACGGGGCACCTGAGTGGCTCAGTCAGTTAAGAGTCTGCCTTTGGCTCAGGTCATGATCCCAGGGTCCTGGGATTGACCCCCCTGTCGGGCTCCCTGCTCAGCTGGGAGTTTGCTTCTCCCTCTGCTGCTGCTTCCCCTGCTTGTGCTCTCCCTCTCTCTCTCTGTCAAATAAATAAATAAAATCTTCTAAAAAAAATAAAAAATAAAATGGGGACAATAACAATGCCCACCTCATGCAGTTGTGCGGGCTAAATGAGGTGATAGATGTAAATGCTCAGTTCAGTGTCTTGCTTAGCATAAAGTACTCAATAAAGATTTTCTATCATTTGCTGGGGGTTCAAATGCCAGCCACATCATTTATAATGGGATGACTTTGGGCAAGTCATTCAACCTCTCTAAACTTCTGTTTGCTTAGCTATAATCTGTACCTACCTCATCGGGCTACAGTCAGATAATTAATGAAATAGTCTTTGTAAGCCATCTGACTCAGAGTGAGGGCCCATAGATGTCAGTGATTGTTCTTTTTGTAACTATTATTGTTTATTTATTTTATAAATATTTATTGGATGCATAGTCTGTGCCAGGCCCTTTACCTATATTCTTATTGAATCCTCAGAATGGCCTGGTAAAGAGGATAGTGTCTCTCACAGTTGGGGAAACTGAGTCAGATGGAGCACCTTGCCACATGGTTGAATGACAGAGCCTCACCTCTAATCTAGGTTTGTGTGGTGGGCACCAAAACATGTTTTCGTTACTTCAACACACTTTTGTTGGGAAATAAAATTCACATAATAAAACTCACCATTTTAACTATTTTGAAGTGTACAATTTAGTGCTTTTTAATTGGGTTGTTTGTCTTTTTGTTTTTTGAGTTGGAAGAGGGTTTTAAATATACATATATATATACATATATATATTCTGAATATTAACCCTTTGTCAGATATAGGACTTGTCATTATTTTCTCCCATTCCATGGGTTGTTTTCACTTTCTTGATGGTGTACTTTGATGCACAGAAATTTTTAATTTTGATGAAGTTCGATGTATCTATATTTTTCTTTTGTTGCTTGTGCTTTTGGTGACATATTTAAGTGTTGCCTAGCAGCGCCTTGGATGGCCCAGTTGGTTAAGCTTCTGACTTCGGCTCAGGTCATGATCCTGGGGTCCTGGGATCAAGCCCTGCATCCAACTCCCTGCTTAATGGGGAGTCTGACTCATGCATGCCTGTGCTCTCTCTCTCTCAAATAAATAAAATCTTTTAAAAAAAGGGGGGGGGGGGCGCCTGGGTGGCTCAGTCGTTAAGCACCTGCCTTCGGCTCAGATCATGATCCCACGGTCCTGGGATCGAGCCCCGTGTTGGGCTCCCTGCTCAGTGGGAAGCCTGTTTCTCCCTCTCCCACTCCCCCTGCCTGTGTTCCTTCTCTCGCTGTCTCTCTCTCTCTGTCAAATAAATAAACAAACAAACAAATAAATAAATAAATCTTAAAATAAATAAATGAATGAATAAATGAATGAATGAATGAATAAATAAATAAATAAGAGGAGTGCCCGGGTGGCTCAGTCGGTTAAGCGGCTGCCTTTGGCTCGGGTTGTGTTCCC